ACAAAATTCATATATAAAATGTGTAATTAAACGAATGTTTCGTTCCAGACATAACAAATTTGCTGAAATCGCAAACGAAAAGTTCAATGTACGTATTTTAATTATATTGTGCACACAATATATCGGGATCTGATTTTACCGGTGAGTGTTTTAAATGCTACTTTATTTTAAATGGTAAATAAAACATTTTTTGTTTATATTGTCCTTATAATTTTGATATAAAACCATCATTCTTAATTGTTTTATTAAGTTAAAGTTTGCTAAATATAACACAATTATAAAAGTTTTATTAGAATTACGATGGAAAAATAGCATAGTTATGCTTGGTATATGGACCTGAGACTTATATGAAAACACATTTGAACATTAATTGTGCTCGTGAAAATTTATATGATTTTTGATTATAAACAGATGACAACCTTCAAACAACACACATTAAGTTTTCATGACATTCTGGTTAAGAATTATTAAGTAAGAGATATTTGAGTGAAACTAAATACTAGTTAAAAAATAATGAAAGATTTGGATTTTAATTAATCACTTTTTTTTATGATGTCTTCCGTGTGACGTTATCTGCTCTGTCGAAATAATGCTAACGGTTATAATGCTAAGCATTAAGCATAGTTAGTCGAAAAAACAAAAATGTTGCAAAAAATCATTTTAAACACTTAAAAAAGAATTAGGAAGATTACTAACAGTTTAAATATAAATAATATCATGTTGATAGCGATTTCAGGTGATAAGTGTTATTGTAACAGATGGAACTTTATTAGAATGGCCAAAATAAAGTGTGTGTGTCAATGATGATAAACGAGATTTGTTACGTTCTTATATAAAAATATATTAAACTTGATTTCCATACTACATATAGAATACAAAAGTGCAGTCAGCAAATTAGAAGAGCAGTCGGTGGAGTTCAATCTACAATAATCAAAAGTGCAAAATTCGTAAGGTTATAGCTGGCCTTAGTATTTTAGGATGTATACAAAGAATTATTTATAGATTACCTGTACAAAGACGAAAGTACTAATAGCTAATCTTATATTGGGTGATCAATACGTTTTATATTGAGAAAAATTAGTTTTATATTGAGCTAAATCAGAGCTTTCGAAAGGAAGGTGCTGAGAAGGATTTACGGTCCCATTTGCCTGAACCACGAAGAATTTTGTAGGCGCACGAACGCAGAACTACTATAACTTTGTAACGATGAAGATGCTGTAAAATTCGCAAAGTCACAGCGCTTGAGATGGATCGGGCACGTCATAAGAATGCCGGAAGAGAGCAGCAAAGGTAGAACGTGATCGACGACATCAGAAAAATTGGTTTCCAAAATTGGAGGTCTAAAACAACATGCAAAGCAGAATAGAGGAACAGGTTGATGTAGCTAAAGCTCACCCCGAATTGTAACTCTTATGATGATGATGATTGGGAATAAAAACTGCTTTTTTACCAAGACAATGTAGCCAATATCAATAATCAATGTCAAATTGTATGAATTACAATTCAAATTATTTTCGTATTCATTATATCTATTCATAGATCTTAAAAGAATGTTCCATATTATCAAATTTACTTTAACAATGATATCATATCATTATCAAATGTAATTTTAAGACTTATATAAAAGGTCTACTATATTGATGAATAAGGTCAATTTTTGCAACAAAAAAAAAATGTAGCATTATTTTCTTAATAATTATAATCGAGACTTTTAGAATGATATGTACTCTTTGCTTTGGCTTAATTATCTGAGTATTTGCTTGTTTCGTTCATATTTTCTCAAGCCTACATTTCCGACAATATTTTTACGGATACTATTACTATAATATTAACAGACTCAAATTGTTTTAAGGAAACACACCTAAGAATAAATAGCATTTTAACAACTACTATATTAATACTATTTTTACATATGGTTAGGTTTGGTTGGAGTGGTAGCCTTGTGCTTAAGCTCAATTAATGGCCTGTTTTGATACCACGGATTATTAGCGTTATTCATATGCAAAATAGAGATCAGCGTACAAACAACGCCGCAAAACAGGACTCCTCCTCCATTCAAGTAAAAGTGAAGTCTTTAAACTTGGACAAAAGAAATCTCTAATTTTTCAAGATGACAACTGTCAGATTTTTTTACACATACAATTATCAAATCTTATTAGCATATTTTTGTATGGATTTTATATGAAAAGTGACACTTATTTCACCACATTTTCTCTGTTAAATGCGATAGTTTAAACATGTATTGCCATACAATTAAATATCCCAAATGTTTCTTATGTTTGTGTCTATTGTGTCTATATATAAATTGTCAAAACATAAAGTACAGAAAAAATATTCAAAACTCTAAATTAATAGAAACAAATTAAATTTTTATCGAGTTTTTACGATATGATTTTTTTTTTGTGTATAAGCTGAATAATAATTTTTATGCACTCCTCAAATAAATAAAAATGGACAACTTTTAATACTAATCTCACTCACAATATTAAAAAAAATTTATGCAAAACTTATTTAGCAAACAGCAATACAAATATTTATATATAAAAGTATTCATACACACATTATTATATATAAATACAACAAATATGTATCTGCAACGTTAAAATGCGAACGATACAATTACAAAACGATTGAACCAATTACCTTAAAGCTATTTAAATATTAACGAATATATTTTATGAAAGAAGAGGAAAAATTTAAAGCAAATGATATCAAAATGAAATAAACGTTAACACTCGAGCAAAAAAGCAAAAAAGTAAAAAAGCAAAAAAGAAAAAAGTGAACTAAACAAGGAAATCGGTAACTGACGAATTTTAATTATATTCATAGGTTTGTATTTGCTCTAGTGTAGGTATTTGTGGTTAGTTTACGAGCTAACAAAGCAACGGTCTAGCGACGGTCTTACTGAAAATCGAATCGCTACAATCACATACATTAGTAGTTGAACAAGAAATAACAAACGCATATAGACAAGATATTACGGTAATCAATGCCACCAATTCCAATTACACATATCCAAAAGCAAACTCTTATACAAAAACACTACACAGAAATAGTAAAACAAAGAAACGAAGACAGCAGCAAAGGAAGGTAAGACAAGGGGTAGGCAATGGTAATAATCGTAGCAAAAATGTTATATATGTATATAAAATAAAATAAAAAGAAAAAAAAAAAATTAAAACAACAGAGAGCAAATTTAAAGTTAAAAATTATTTAATTTTAATACAATTTATTGTTTAAACACATTTGTTATACAGAAAAAGTTTAAACTAGATGAGGGTTAAAGAGGGGCAACAACACCTCACAAGTGTGTGTTTTCAAGACGACATTAACAACGAATGGAATTTTGGATTTTTGTATGTTGAACCCAACAACATTATTATTTAAGATGTTGAAGAGTTTGGTGCATTGCAAAACCGAAGAGAAAGAAGACTGAGTCGAAATTTTACTAATGTATGAAAAAAAAAGCAAAAATAAAAATATAAAAAAAACATAAAAATTGTTGAAGAGAAGCGGTATTTGCGTTCACATTTAAAATTGACGTCGGCAACCAGTGGCCGAGACAAACGAATAACGATTGATTAAGTGTAGTGAAGGGCGGTGAAATACAACATTGCGAGAGTGGCAAACACAATTAAAGCAGCAACAAACATGTACATTTTGGATTTTATAACAGGAAGAGAGAATTGGGGGGAGGTAATATGGAAAAAATGTTGCACCGCCATAGAGCACACAATACTTTCACTTCTTCAATTTTTTACTACTACTATATATGTTATTAACACAGTTAACATTTCTGATATTTTATAAAAGAATAGAAGTATTACATTTAATGTGTGATTTCGTCTATAAAATTAATTCCGAAAAATATGTTCATTTAGCTTACAAAAATGTTGCATTTTAAAATTGAAATTTTAATCTGAACTAATACCATACCTATTTCCTCTGCATTGACCTCAAATATTAGGAAGAGGTTAGGTTGAATCTCACAATACAAAAAACATGTTTGTGTGTGTGTACATATAGAATAAGTGGACGAATTTTATACAAAAACCACATAAAAAAGCATAGTTTTATTAATAAAGAAATCGTCGTCGTTGGGTATTTTTAGAACATTAATTTATTGATCGAAACACTAAATATTTATTTTATGTATTATATAAAAAACTTGTTTAAATTACAATCATAGATAATAAAAATCTAAATAATACCAATTTTATTGTTGGTGGTTGATCTATTAGAAATTAGACTAGCATTTTTATATTTGAAACTACCTTACGAAATCAAACACATATTTTCTAAATATGTGTAATTAGAGTGGTTGTTCCTATATAGGTCTCTATTAGAAGTGACCTACTTTGAATACTTAGATGATAAAATCCTTATTCGTACATTGCTTAAAATAAGACACAAAAGAAGCAACAGACTAGAAGAGAAGCAGCTGTGATTGGAATTCCCCCAAAAAACGCCATTACGGTGTTCCAAGGTTGTTGAGTTTCATCATACAATTTTATATGAAGTTGAAAACTAGTAGACCGTGTAGTAATTGATTTAATATATACATCCAAAACGTTTTTAATACATACTATATATATTTCACTTGAAGAGCATATTGGAAATATAAAAATCACAATTTCAGATTTATTGTCTGATTAAAACACGATAAATTTCTTAATTTCGTATTTTTAACATTTCGTATATATTCACAAATTTATTTTTTGTACAAATTCCGTTCAGTATTTTTAGCTTTTTCAACTTAAATTTTATTTTAAACAATATTTAATTATTCTTCACGACCGATAATTTTGTCTGTCATAAAAAGCACGAAAAGTCGAGAAAAAGAAAAAAAAATTACGATGGCGACACGAAGAGAAGCGACTTAGGGGAACCAGAAGAAGAAAAGAATATTTCAATTATTGTCACTAGTTTTAATTGCATTTATTTTCTTTAGAAATTTATAAAACATTTTTTTATTTTTAAAAACAAGTACAATTATTTACTTTAGAAATAACACTTTTTCTTATAAATCTTATGAACTTTTTCCGAAATCACTACATCGCTGCCACGTTAAAGACCAACAATGAATAGTTTAATTTCCAAAATTGTTTCTCTCACTTGCATAGGAATGTTTTGGCAAGAGACTCAATGAAAAACAGTTGTCAGAAAGAGTGCACTAAATCGAAATGAAATTCGGGAAAGCAACATTGAAAAGAAGTCGAAATGACGTTAGCACAAGGGGGTAAGCTATACATAGTTTACCTTGAAATATATTGTGTGAAAACAGCACAAATATATTCATATTTTTAAAACACCATAATTTTATAGATTAGACAAATCAAAAGTAAATACAAAATTTATTCAGAATTTTATAAGATATATAAAAAAACAGTAATATATTCTAAAATTTGAATATTAAAAATTCTTTAAATTAAACTAAAACAACACTAAATAATAGTGCGATAATATTATATATTTATAATATATATTAGATATGTTTAGATCTTATTTTTGCTATTAAGGCACAACTTTTCGTACTGAACTGAAGTAATCTTCCAATCATAACTAGTTATATTATTTGATACAGCCTAGTACTAATTAACATTAATTTCTCATGAAAAATTGATATAAAACTCCATTTAAAAAATATTTTACAAAACCAAAACGTGTAGAAACATATTCTTAAATGAAGTTTTGTCAATATATTTGTACAAGACTTTTAGATGTCTAGTACCAACATCATATGTAATATATAATTCAATAAATTGTAAAATGTAGTGAATAGTATTAACAAAGTTTAATGCAGTTTACTTTTTGTTAAAAAAAAAAATGATACTATTTGATACTATAGGGGTACTCAAACACAGCTCAGTAATCGATGAAGTGATAATATGACAACCTTGTAAACGCTCTTTTAAATTAGCGTTCATTATTGTTACAAAATTGAATATCAGCTGATTGACAAGAAAATTTGTAAGAAATGCAAAAGTTAAATTTAAGTAACACTTAAATCTTTTATTTAATTTATATTTATATATATATTTTTACCGGACACTTCAAATTTAAATTAAATTTGTGCAATATTTTATAATAGGAATCAGCTGACGTTTTACCTAAAACCTGATGTCTCGTTTACAAAAACGCACGTACACAAAGTTTCACTAGCAAATTTCCGAGGGCTTATAAATCCCCCTATGTTTGCACCTAAATGATAGAAGAATGTGTTATTCTTCTATAAATTTATATTTACACATTTTAAGATACAATTACTAAGATACTTTTGTACTAAATACATGTTTAAAACATTAATGATTGCAATTAGCAGAATAATAAATTAAGTTTGATTATTTTTTTTAATTATTAGGACAGAAACAAAAAACATATTTTATTTTACACTTATATCAAAAACACATGTTCCACAGATTTGTAAAAATGCATTTAAATGTTCAATTTTGATTAAGAATTTTTATTGTCTTTAAAAATTCTTATTTATATATCATATAAACAAATATAGAAACAGCAGCTTAAAACACAACTGAAAGTTAAGTATATTTGGATTATAATTATTGCACATATATAGCAGATATATGTAAATATAGAATTTTTGTATTGTATTTATTTATCCTTAATAATATTCAATTTATATATTGCAACCGTGTTTATTTTTATACATTGATAATTTGGTAACTAAACATCAGCAGAAGAACGACAGCAATACTTTAACGAACTTTAACACTTGCCAGAAAGAGAAATATATACATTTATTTCACATCTAAGGAAATATGTTGAAAACAAAAACGAAATGCAACGAAAAAAAAACCGAGAACAAGGCATAAAATCCAAATATAAAAAAACAAAATTATTGACCATAATATTATTTGCATTATATTTTTTGTTATAAATATAAACAACATTTTATATAGCACGAATTATTATAGAACTTTAGTCACAGTAAAGATTTATTTTATGGAATTGCACGTAAAACATGTCCAAGATCTTTCAGATTTTAATTATGTTGCAAATTTTATTATATATCAAACTTACCCTGAAAAGTATCGTCATTTTCATCTTCGGATGCCATTTTCGCAATTAATTGCAAAACTTATGCAAAAAATATAAAAAATTTTAACTTTCTTAAATTACTTTTAATGAAAATGCTGCCGCACGTCAAAACGAATTGTCACTTGTGTAGAAGCGGCGGCATATATTCTGATATAGTTACGAATTACACAAATAGTCGTAAGTGAACCTTTTTTGAACTATTCGACTAGTGCGATGGAATGGTAACATATGTGATTTCTAATAAATTGTTTAATGTTAAATTATAGCAAGATATATACGCTTCCCTTACGATGAATGTTAGTCTCTATAAACTATATATTTTTGATTATAAATTAGGAAGACAAATAATCAAGCAATATAATAAAATAATTACTTCCCATTTAAATTATGATATAGTTCTATATGTTGCTACGTATACAACTATCAAATAGATTTAACATTCAACATTTGTATTTTTATTCACATAAATACAATATATAGAGTAATATAATTTATAAATGCAATATAAAACAGAAAGTTATTTATTAACTTTTAACAAGTATACTATGTTTACATTTTACAATTAGTAGACCTCAATTTCTAATAATTGCGCAATTGAAATTTAAAATAATAATAAAACCACTAAAGTTAATTAAATAAAATAAGAAGTTGGATTACTTTAATTTAAAATTTTTTATAAATTTTATTGTGATTTGTTTGCTTTTGCTTTTGTTTTCTGTTTGATATCATCAATGCTTGCATATCTGTTCTCTCCTATTTGAACTTGAAAACTGTATAATTGTCGCAATTATCTAATTTTTTTTATTAAAATTGAAATAAAATTGAAACTAACTTCCAAACTAAGCAAAACTTTAAAATGCTATTATATTTCATGATAATAGTATATCTATACACATCCGAGTAATCTCGCATATCAAAACCAGTTTCTATAAAATTTCAAACATAACTTACTCAGTTTTTAAAATTGCTTTGCTTTGCTAGATTAATATTTTCTTGAAATTATTAATTTCATAGGATGAAAATTCATACACATGAATTGTACTTGGTAGGTAAATACAACCTGTCTGTAAAATAAATAATAATTTTTTGTACGTTTTATATGTTAATACAGTTCAATATTGTAATCCTAAAATTAATTAACTGTGCGAAAAATTTTATACAAACTAGTTTCTATCTGGAAAATTAGATATAAAGTATAAATGTATTTAAATTTACTAATGCATCCTAATTCTTACATAATCAAATTTTAAAATTGTGTATAATACCTCGAAGTCATAGAAATGATAGTACGCAAAAATTCATACAAATCATTTTGATTTTCTGATTGAAGAGCAAATTACAATAAAGACTTTTAAAAAAGAACCCAACACATTTGAATTAAGGCGTATAAAAGTGAATGTAATGAAAAAGATAGATAATATCTTTACTACTAATATTTCATCAATAAAAACTTATGAAAGTTACAATAAATAAAAACAACAAATTTATGTAAATGTTGAATTTGAAATTTGTTGTCAATTAAAAAATTAATCGGATAATAAAATAAAATAACTAACTTTGGGCAGTGTGACGCTTGCGTATGTTTAAATTTGAGCTTACACTAACGTAAAACATGAAACATTTTCTGTTTTATGTGATCATATAAAACACTTTTGAGTAGTAGTGGGTATATAAAGCTTGCTGCTTAAAAAATAATAGTGCATATAAAACTGAAGACATGCAATTTTGTTCCATGAAATTGAAAAATTATACTTTCTCTTCTATTAAAAACTAGTTCCAGGCTTCAAGATTTTGCTTGCGTGGGTTTAACTAAATTAATTTCTAATAATGAAACACATTTTTTTGGTTCTTTTTACTGTTTCACTAATTTCTTCTTTCTTTTCGGTTTTGCAATGCACCAAACTCCATAAATTTATCAATAATTAACAGCATTTCATTCTTAAAGGTAAAGAAACAATTTTATGAATGCTGTATATTACAACCAGAGTTCAGAGTGTAAATATACTGAATTTCATAAGATAACAATTATATCGTATAGTGTAAAAGTGTTAATATGATTTTGTGTCAATATTGAACGTTGGCAACTCATAATGTCGAAATACACGCTTCAATTGTAGAAAATTTTGACATACATTGAGTTTTTGTGTAATGTATTGAAACGAAAACGTTGCGGAACGTTGTTGGCGAACGAGGGTTTGTTTAATCTGATTTGGAAAAGAAATGCAAATTTTTATTCATATTTTTTGGTAAATAATATATTATATTACAATTTGTTCAAATTAATTGCGAATTATGTCCTATTATACGCGAAAGGAGATTGATGAACTTCACAACGACATAACGTCAATTGTGACTAAAGCGAGTGGCAGTGGTGGCAGCAGTAATGATGCTTTGGTCAGAACAATTGAACATTGCCTTCATAATGGCTATGAACGCCGACGTATACATGAAAAACTGGAGAAGCATTTGGATGCAAAAAGTACCGGCAGACTTGTAGACAAACTAGTTGAAAAATTAGACGAGTACCGTCGAAGAGGCAGAAAACGTACAAATGCTGTGGAGGATTCAATAACTGAAGTTCCGAAGAAATCACGTTTTGATTCTATTGAAAAAAATGGAAATGATGTAAAAGTCCAAACGATAGAAAATCCTACAACATCTGTTGCAACCGCTTTGAGTTCAAATCAAATAAAGTTGATGATGGAAAATGCCCAACGTGAAATTGAAGAGCGAAAACGAGCTTTGAATAATTTAAAAGCTAAGGATCCACTACTAGCAGCAGTTCCACAGATTGGATTACCCGTAGCGTTAGCTACGCAGGTACTGGCCAAAAAACCTAAACCAGAGGATGTTGATAAAGCAAAAAAACTTGCTGAATTGCATGCACAAATACGTGCCAAACTTTCTGGGTCATTGGGGAACTTAATACAGCCTGTTGCTCAAATTCCAGACAGACCAAAACCATTGATTTTAGATGAAGATGGACGTACTATAGATAAAAGCGGCCGCGCCATAAGTATACCGACCTTGACGCCTACTCTCAAAGCTAATATACGCGCGAAGAAACGTGAAGTTTTTAACAAAGGTCAAGGAACAAGTGAGCGGAGTACCACTAATGATGATGCAGTAAAGTTCTTTGACGATCGGATAAATCAAAAGCCAATTCTGCGTACGAAACGTACATTACGTTTCCACGAACCAGGTAAGTTTCAACAAATGGCAGAACGTCTACGCATGAAATCACAACTCGAGCGACTTCAAAATGAAATATCGCAAATAGCGCGTAAAACCGGTATAAGTTCTGCTACAAAATTGGCTTTGATAGCTCCTAAACAAGACACTCCTGATGATGTACCATGTATGGAATGGTGGGACTCGGTAATATTAACAAATGATTTTAATAGTATAGATGAGATGGGTAAAATAAGTATAAGAAAATCAGCTATAACCAATTTAATTGAGCATCCTACTCAAATGAAACCACCAAGTAAGTGATTTAAAATTGTTTACTCTTAATACAATTACATAAAGCGTTTTTCAGATGAACCACTTAAGCCAGTGTTTTTACCAGTATTTTTAACTAAAAAGGAACGTAAGAAACTGCGTAGGCAAAATCGGCGAGAAGCTTGGAAAGAGGAACAGGAAAAAATTCGTCTTGGACTGGTTGCACCGCCAGAACCCAAATTACGTATTTCTAATTTAATGCGTGTATTGGGTACGGAAGCGGTACAAGATCCAACAAAAATAGAAGCACATGTTCGTGAACAAATGGCTAAGCGGCAAAAAGCGCATGAAGAGGCAAATAATGCACGGAAGCTTACTGCTGAACAAAAAAGCGAAAAGAAAATACGTAAAATAAAGGAAGACACCACATGTGGAGTGCACGTTAGTGTGTATCGCATACGAGAGTTGCAAGATAATGCAAGTAAAAAATTCAAAGTCGAAACCAATGCAAAACAATTGCACATGACCGGTACGGTTGTACTCTTCCGTGACTGCTGTGTGATTGTCGTAGAGGGAGGTCCGAAGCAACAAAAAAAGTACCGTAGGCTTATGCAACACAGAATTAAATGGGAAGAAGATATTGTAAAAGGTCCCGATGGGCATGATGTTCCAAACTCATGTGTATTGGTCTGGGAAGGCACAAGTCAGCGGCGTCACTTTGGGGAAATCAAATTTAAAGTGTTTCCAATGGAGAAAATGGCGCGTGAGTTCTTTCAAAAACATCAAGTCGAACACTATTGGGATTTGGCTTACTCTGGCGCTGTTCTTGAAGCATCTACAGATTCTTGAAAGAAAATTGTTTTACCTTAAATAATAAACACATTAAAAATAATTACATGTTTTTTATATTTTCAATACAAGTAATACATTTTTTTAGATCCCATTTAACAATAAACTTACATCTTATTCTGCATCCTTTACATGTTGCTTAACTTTGTTTATAAGCGTATATCGCACTGTTTCTAATAAATGTTTGTTGATTTCTATTGCATGCTCATTCAAAAGTTTTAGTTTTTCTGGGGAAAAGAAGCCTTTCTGATAGCACATTGAAATTTGATTCAACGTCGCTAAAGAGGAAGCCACTAAAATACCATGTTCTCCTTCAACATCTTCAATAGAATTATTGTTCAACAGTTTTTCCAAGGCAGCTTCAAATGCATACTATTATAATGTTTGAATTTCTCGATATATATAAATATTTTACCAGTTGGATTTACAAATTCGATGTCCTTATAAAAACTTATAGTAGAAGCCGTTATTAGATCGTATGTTGGTATCCCTCCATCTATAAGAGCAATACCGCAACAGTTTATTGCTGTGCTAAGTACACATCCATCGTCGTCCAATACTAAAACTTTTATTTCAAGCTATAAAGAAGTTTATTATCACAGAACACAAATATTAAATATTATATTTACTTCAAAACTTGGGAATTCATTACGACATATAACTGGATCAAGAGCCTTTTTCAGTGCTTTACTCATTAGATTTTCTCTGCGCTCCAAGTTTTTAGAATCACTTGTGGAGAATGGAGCATATTTAAGTGAGCACACAACTTCGCCAAGTACACCACTAAAAATAACGTAAAACTTATTGAAAATATACTTATTTGAGCATTGCTTTCTTTGTAATTGTCAAAGGCGTTGGCATTGCTTTACCTTTTCTTTGAAGATCTGTGAATTTCACGCGGTGGTTCTACTAACGCTATGAGCTTTGTCTTTCCATATTCCATATAAGCAGAACCTTTCGCGGTTCCTATAGCGTTCGGTTTTAAGTCTACAAAGACAAATCAATCTTAATGAAAGGAAAAGATATATTTCATTAACATACATGAAGTCCTAGGTTTAAGTTCAAATTTATCCCTGTGCAATTCAGTAAAAATTTCCTCGGGTTCTTTTCGTTTAATAAAATTTTCACATGGTGTAGAACTACTGGGATACATAAATCTACGACTTAATGGAGGTGGCATTTTAATATGATTCAATTATAATCTAGAAAATATTGTAAACAATTTGAACTGCGCGTGTTATTTTGACATTGACTTAAATAAAAGTTATCGATTACTTATCGATAAGGTTTATTTTTTTTTATTCACGTTTTTGCTATACTTTATACTAGTATTATAATTTTATATTTGAAAATTTCATATATTTATGAACGTTTATGTATTTGCAGCTTATTGTTTTGAAGCTATCAAACTTTTGTTAATTATATTTATACCTTCTCAGTATAATAATTTATTCAAAAACAAACGATATATTAGCTTTGTTAACTAATTGCAAAGCTCAGCGATCACGTCGGTTGGTTAAAATAGGTTAAAAGAGAGTGCGCTGACTCTGAGCTTTAAATGTGGCAGGGCACGAGTTCGATTCCTGGTACATACAGTATCAAAAAATTAATAATTAATACAAGGTATTTGGCAATACTCGAAACAGCTGTATAGTCAGCTAAAAATTCAATTAATTAAAATATAATAATGCAAAAGGAATTTTTGTTGTAGTAGTTCACTACTGTTCGAAAAAGCCTCTTTATACATTAAAAATTATATTCAAGAACTTTTTTGCTAACTTTAAAAAAGATTTTTTAAACATTAAATAATTCTGACGACTGAGAAAGTTATAAATTTAGGTAGCTAATAGCACATTCAGATTGTCTCATTTAGACGTTTTTGTTCATTAAAGCCAGTAATGAGGATGATTTTCCCTACAAAGTGCTTTCATATAAATGAACTCATTATCAATTAATTAGCTCATTTAAGGTGAAAAATATTGAATGTAACCTTTAACAAAAAATTAATTATTGACAACTTTTTGCACAAGCGTGTGTATATATAAACAAAATTATTACAATTAGAAAAAGTTTATAATTTATTTATTTTTTACTCACTTCATTTTATTTCTATTATTTCTGCAAACTAAGTGATAAATAAATTTTCTTGCAACAGGTAATAATAAGAATTTGTCGAACTTGTTTAATGTATAATCAGGGAAGATTTTGAACTCTATTTTTCCAACACATATTATTATTTTAATGTTTAAATACTTGCAAGTAGCTGCCTTTTAGCAATTTTATTGACGTAGTTAAACAAAGATGTTGGGTAGCTGCTAAAAAGTATAGCCGGCTGAGTTAATAAAATCTTAAACACAACTATAAGGGTAATATATCTTTTTTTATTAAGTTTTGCCATTAGAATGATTTCGATCACCTTTTCATATATTTCCACTCCAAAGTACTTGCCTCGAATTGTCAAATTTGAATTGAGTAAAAAAATCTAAATTTTTAAATTGAAATTTTTAGATAAATTTGAGAGATTATGAAATGTGTAATATATATAAATAGCGTTTTCGATTGCTAAATCTAGGGTAATTTTGTCAATCGAGATGTTTTTTTAATGCACTTTTAGTACAATTTTCTTTTTTGATTAACAAATCTGGAGCAAAATGTATAACACTCGAGATTAATATATAACACTATAGATATTTTGTCAATGTAGCAAGATTATACTGAAATTAACAGCTGTTTTATATGATTTCACACATAAAGTGTGATTTAATTCGATATATTCATTTGTGAAAGATATAAATGTCTACTAACGTGGCTAAAAAAATGTCAGATTACTCTCGAAATGGTTGATTGGATAACAAATTTTAACAGATTGAGAGTAAATCTAGATTGCATCCAGATTTACCAATCGAAAACACATAAACATAAATTTTATTTTTACAAGTAACATCATTAAAAGAAATTAATTTAATATAATTATATCCAATTAATATTATAAGAAAGTACTAAGTACTTAGCATACTAGCATTTAATACTTATATATAAGTACTAAACGCGTATAACAAAAATTTGCAAGTAAATTGTTTCGAGTAAATTAAGGTAAAGTAAATTAAAATTTCCTAGGGACTTTTTGCACTGCACTTAAGCAAATATTTATTTATTGCACTTATATATTTTTTTTGGTTTAAAGTTTTCAAATTTATTTATTAAACATCTTATAAAGTTTTCACAATGGTAACACCTAATTTACCTAATTTTATCTTATTCACCCTACTCGAAATTCTGGTAAATACCAACAATCACTGTAATACCGACATAATTTACTATATCCCTCAATTTACCATCAATTTACTCGAACTCGTACACGGTCACAATATCCTCCGAGAATAAATAGTGTCCGCTCTTGTAGAGGTGTTTTTGACATAGAAAATTGCAGTATGAAATTCCGTGGTGTCAGTTTTTATTATTTTGCTTGGCTGGCAATACTTTTTGCGAATTGACATTCGAAAAACGCAATGTAATTCCAAGCAGGTGCGGAAAGCGGTGGATGTGAGTTTTCTTTACTATATTTAATACTGAGTTGCAGCGATTCGACGACACTAAAATTTAATATATTTGCACCTAAATATTACACCACAGATTGTGAAACACGATTTATTTAAACAAATTTTAAACTGAAAAATGGTTAATGAAAGCCTAAGTGAAAAGAAGGCAGCGCCATCTTTATTGGAGGTGAAAGACAAGAAAGATGACGCCAAATCACCTAAAAAAGATAATGCGAAAAATGAAGCGAAAGAACAGGAGTTATCCGATGAAGACCAACAGCTGCAGGAAGAGCTCGAAATGTTAGTTCAACGGCTACAGGAAACTGATAAAAATTTGTACAAGCCTGCGTTGGAGATGATGGCTAAGTTAATAAGAGCATCTACTACTTCTATGACGTCGGTGCCGAAACCTTTAAAATTCATGCGTCCTCACTATGAAACGATGAAGACTATTTACAAACACATGCACGACCAAGAAACCCGACATTTGTGTGCTGATATAATATCTGTGCTATCAATGACCATGGGTACTGGTAAGGATTGTTTAGCATATCGTTTTCTTTGCGATCGCTCTCAACGTATAGGTGAGTGGGGCCATGAGTATGTCAGACATTTGTCTGGCGAAATTGCTTCACACTATCTGGAAACTTCTGGAGAATTTCAAACGCAACTTATTGAACTTGTGAAGCAAATTATACCATACAATATGGAGCACAATGCTGAAGCTGATGCGTGCGATTTATTAATTGAAATTGATCATCTGCATTTATTGCAAGAATATGTAGATGAATCAGCTTATCCTCGAGTGTGTTTATATCTGCAATCATGCTATTCATATGTACCGGAACCCGACAACACAATAATATTGGAAACTGCTTTGCAGTTATCACGAAAATTCAATCAACACACGCAAGCTATGCGGTTAGCTTTAATGTTGAATGACATGCACAAAATAAATGAGATATTTAAAGAAACTAAAGATCCTGCTTTACAAAAGCAATTGGCATTTATGCTAGCAAGACAGCAGGTTTGCTTAGAATTGGATGAGTCTTATCCTGATTATGATGATCTCATGGAAATTATGTCTAATGGCAACCTTAACAAACACTTCCTAAACTTAGCAAGAGAATTGGATATTATGGAACCCAAAACTCCAGAGGATATATATAAATCACATTTGGATAATGCTAGAACTCGTTTCACTGCTATACAGGTTAGTTGCACAAACTTCTTTATTACTTCTTAAATAATTAAAATTTAATTTATTTTAGGTTGATTCAGCTAAACAAAATCTTGCAGCAAGTTTCGTCAACGGTTTTGTAAATGCAGGTTTCGGTGTCGATAAACTGCTATCAGAAGATGGCAATAAGTGGCTATATAAAAATAAAGAACATGGTATGATGTCGGCAACAGCCTCACTTGGCTTAATTTTGTTGTGGGACGTTGATGGTGGTTTAACAATGATTGACAAATATTTATACTCTACAGAAGACTATATAAAATCAGGTGCACTTCTCGCATGTGGCATAGTAAATTGCGGCGTTCGTAATGAAGTCGACCCAGCACATGCTTTGCTTTCTGACTATATTGAGAATCAAAACAGCTCTATGCGAATTGGTGCAATTTTGGGTTTAGGTATTGCTTATGCAGGCTCAAATCGTTCTATTGTTGTAGATACTTTGAAAACCGTGTTTGCTACAACTAATGGGAAATCAAACAGTATCGAAATATTAGGTATTACTGCGCTATCTTTAGGTTTAATAAGTGTTGGTTCATGTAATGCTGAGATAACCGAAATACTTCTACAAACCATTATGAACTTATCTAGCTCTGATCTTAAAGACACATATACACGTTTTCTTTGGTTGGGATTGGGTTTGCTTTATTTGGGACGTCAAAAAGCAACAGACGCAGTAATGTTAACATTGGAAGTTTTAGATGAACCCTATCGATCAATGGCTGTAACTATGGTAGATATTTGCGCATATGCTGGTACTGGAAATGTATTAAAGATTCAACAATTGTTGCATATCTGTTCTGATCATTATGAAACATCTGCTACCGATAGTAGTGAAACTGAAAAAAATAAGAAAGATAAGAGCAAGGACAAAGAGAAGGTAATAATTTTTAGTTATAATTTTAAGTGCCAAAATCATATTAATCTCTTATAGGAGAAACAAGAAAAAGAGAAGGAGAAGCTGGAAAAAGAAAAGGAGAAAGAGAAAGACCTGTCAGCAACACAAGCTATAGCAGTTCTCGGTATAGCACTTATTTCCATGGGTGAGGATATAGGTGCCGAGATGGCATTCCGTTCTTTTGGCAACCTGTTACGTTATTGCGAGCCATGTATTCGGCGTGCGGTACCATTAGCGTTAGGTCTTATATCGGCATCTAATCCAAAACTTAATATTCTCGACACATTAAGTAAATTTTCACATGACAGCGATGCTGAGGTAGCGCACAACGCCATCTTTGCGATGGGTCTTGTTGGTGCAGGAACAAATAATGCACGTCTTGCTTCAATGCTGCGACAATTAGCACAATACCATTCAAAGGATCCTAGTAATTTGTTTATGGTGCGTATAGCGCAGAGTTTAACTCATTTAGGCAAGGGTACTCTCACGTTAAGCCCGTACCACAGTGACCGACAACTAATGAATCCTATGGCTGTGGCAGGACTGATGGCTACACTGGTATCCCTTTTAGATGTTAAAACTCTTATATTAGGACGGTCTCATTATCTTCTGTATACGTTGGTACCAGCCATGCAAGCACGCATGCTTATAACTTTTGATGAGGATCTGAATCAATTGCAAGTACCAGTACGTGTGGGTATGGCGATTGATGTTGTGGGACAAGCTGGTAAGCCTAAAACTATTACTGGCTTCCAAACTCACACTACGCCTGTTTTGTTAGCTATGGGTGAAAGAGCAGAGCTCGCCACTGACGAATACATCTCGCTTACACCAATAATGGAGGGATTTGTAATGCTATCCAAAAATCCAAATTACGTAAAATAAACGAAATGACTGTTCGACAGAAAACAGGAGTGTAGCGAGTTTAGCGTAGTACAGATATTTTTACTAAACTATTTTGAGCGAATATTATACATCTTCGTTTCTACAATTTATAGAAATAATTAATAATTTATGATTATATTAAAATCAATAAAATATTCGAAACTGTAATTATAAGTGTTATTTTTATAGAGCTAGAATATTTTTAAAAATGTAGACTAGAATTTTTTTGTAATTTCTTTTCTAAACCCCCCTTTTTCTGACAAACTGTAAGTGTATCCCTATCAGCAGTCAATTATTGTATTGGCTACTATATTACAATGATGAATGGAATTGAAAATTGTTTTATGATCATCACATCGCAGACGTGCGGTTGAATGAATTGCAGAAAGGTTTATCAACCTTTATAATACTGCTGACATCAGGAAATAGTTTTCAAGCCACGTATTGCGGTAAGCGAAAGGCTGTAGGCGTTTTATCACACAATATGTCTTTCATATACATATAGATGTCTTTCATATACATATAATGTCAAGCCGTTAGAACAATGATGATGATTTCAAATGTCTGGTATGATGAAATCAAAAAAAGTCACAAGACGATTTATAGCTTAACTCATTTATAGAAGTTATTTATAAATTTATAGAAACATTGATTTCTTTTGTGACTTCTATATAGATGTGTAGCGTTCAGCAAGACCACAAACGCTACTATTCGCCAGCTAGAAATTGAACGAAGCCAGGCTCTGACTTTTCAAGGTATCATGGTACATTAGGACGAATGACATCCTCAGGGAAATCAAGGTTGATCCGATCACAAAATACATAAAGGATAAGCCTTGTAATTATTTAGGAAAACTGATGGCTTACCAACACAGTGTTATCGAATCTCAGAATGGTTACGGGTTTCACGGGGAGGCATGCACATTTGAGGTCAGTTATTATTTAGCCTGATGAAGTGATAAACAATAATCCTGTCAAGGTGTAGAGAGGGGTTATGAAGAAACCTCGCAATTAATAGAGAGTAAAAATGCTTAAGTGCAGTAATTCAACTAGCCTCAACATAAAAATAAATGAACAAATTTTATATTAACTTTGCACAAAGATTGAAATTTAATATTGATTTACATTTTTCAGCAGAATCATATAATAAATACAGTAACATCTAGATATTTCTTTAAAATTTTACATAACATTTTAAAATTGCGATTATTAAAATATGTATTTTCTATTTGAAGCATTAAAAATTCTTTATTTGCTTTCAAAATTGCTACTTGTTTATTTTTTAAATATATTGACGTTATTCTCTTCTTAACCAACTCTTAAGTTCTGTGATTAGGTTAGGGGATATTATAACCCATACGCTTTTGAAAAGATCCATCAGTGAACACTGTCCGCTCAAAGCTCGCCAACACGCAGATAAAAATGTTTATCGGTAGAGATTCATTTGTGCCGATAACTCAGTTTCGTTAATTTCCTTTGTATTGAGCTCAGATTCCTGTTTCTTAAGTAATTCATATATAGCTGCCAATTGTTCACGTTCGATTCTGTAAAAACATATATAGATTATTGTTCGTTTTACATTTCTTCTATTAAATACCTTCGCTCTTCTGCTAATTGGTCTTCTGTAAGTTGAGCAGCCAATTCCTTTTTTAAACGTGCTGTTTTTAATTTGCCAACCAGCCCATCCATTGGTACATCATCATCGTCAATATTCTGTCCATTTCTATTATTCATTTCGATTTTGTTAGCAAATGTATCTTCTCTGTTGGTTTCAGTTCTACTTGTCCTATTTTTATTTCGATTGATCTTTTAGAAATAAATAAAACCCATTATATTCTTAATCATCTGATTTGTTTTTTTATTAATTTACCTCCTTGCATTTAATTAACCTCAAAAAATAGAGTAACACCAACACGGCCAACGCCGCTGTTAATGCTGTCGAAATAAAATCTGAAGATAGGAAAAATAAAGTACCTGTTGGCATATAAGCGTCATATCCATTTGCACTCATTGTCGAAAAATACAAATCTATGCAGTTTATAAAAATCAATCAGAATCTGGAATAGATACTTAAAATTTGAAATTTTTTCTTATTCTAATTAAAATAAAAAAATGTAAGAGTACGCGAACAATCAATCAAATTAGATTAGACGATTCTGTTAAATCAAAATTCAAATCAGGAATGGAAAATGTAAACAAAATATTATGAAAATTACTTTGTTTTACTGCACACGAACAGCTGCTGAAGAATAACAAAAAAAAATTTAAGTAAAAATCGATTCGATGTTTATCGGTTTTTTATACATCGTTTATGAAGTTAGTGCTCTTAAGAAGGATGTACAGAAATTTTTATTGAAGTCAAAACATATAAAGAGTTTTAAAACGTGTTTAAAGCGTATTTACATAGCATATATATTTGTAATTTTGATAAATTTTCTGAATATATATCTTAATAAAGTTTTTGTAGGTGCATTCGTAAATGAAAATATTAGTTCCACACTTATATTCTCCTTCGAATTGCTTGAGTTTATGAGAATTGATAGTGAGCACTACAATAATATATAGCAAATTTTATAATAATCTGAATTATACTGCGTTTACATTGTGAGTTTAAAAGTAGATTTAAGCATTGAGTAAAAATATTATAGAGTCACAATGACTCAATTTTAAAATTTTCAGCAACAGGCACGGGAGGGCGGAGTGAAGATTTTACTTCTTTCTGCGCTGCTGCTAGATCGGTCGCGCTTATGCTTGTTCTTTCTCAAAATTTTACTATTGATGAATGAAGGGCAAAAATGAAAACAAAAAACAGATTTGCTTGTTTACGAAGAAAAGAGTCAAATTAGTTTTTGGTGTAATTATTTGTTTTTGCAATTAATGCTTGGCAGTTGCAAGCAGCACGTAAAAATTTCATGCATTTAATATCACTTTATAATGCAAATATGAGAAACATCCCTACTTGTTTGGAAGTTTACTGACCTACATATATATGTATGTGTATAAATATATGTATATTTATAAACATAAACATTTATAAACATTGGAAGAATATGAATATTTTTTGATCTTATTTTAGGAACATTTGAAGCAAATGCAACCAATTTCAATTTTTTGTTTTAATCAGAAATAATAACAGTTATATGTATGTTATATTAGTATTAGCTAAAATAAGATAATTGTATGTAATTGACCGTGTGCGAGTTCATACTTAATAACGATTAATTACGAAAACAATTATAACTCTTTCTTCAAATGCCATCATAATGAAAAATTGTTTCAATGCTGCAAATAAAATTTTGATATCTCTTGCCCCCGAAATTATATACAAAAATATGTCCATATGTTCATATTTAAACACAAAGCAAGTAGGCATGAATGAATATAAAATAGAGAATAATTCCTTTTACTACTTACATTATAATTCAAGGAAGCAATAACAACACCTCAAAGAGCAAAAGGAGAAAAAAACACAAAAAAGAAATATAAAAATTTGTTGAACCTATGAAGCAGAGAATATTGCAAAATCTTCTTTGGTATGAAGCAAAAACGACTGAAGCGACGTCGGCAGAGATTTGAGTGATTTGGGTACCCATTAATAGATACCTAGAACAAAAATTAATTTCTATGGCATTGTGACTCTATAATATTTTTACTCAATGATTTAAGCTATTATCGAGATTAAACTACTTATCTAGTTGTTCAATCATAGATTTTCTACACAAAAGTTAATCTCCTTTTGGTTGAGATTAATTTTTTATTTCGTTAGAAATGGTGATTATTTTTTTGTGCAACTTTGCAAATGACTCAATATCATAGATTTTTTTACGATTTTAGAAGAATTGGAAAAGAAATGTCAAAATAACATTGAAAATTTGAAAATGTCGAAGTGAGTGGGCCTATATATACTATCATGAACGTAAGATGAACTTGACGAACTGTCAGTTCAGTTTACACTATCACGAACTCTCATGAGCGTGAAATTTGTTTTGTTTTGTGTAAACGTATAAAATATTTGTGTGTGTAGTGCAGAGCACAAAAATTGAGAGTATTCAGCAATAAAAGGTAAACATAAACATAAAATTGCATATGTATGCGTGTCAAGCTGAAGAAACGCAGTAAATTTCATTGCGTGGAATTCATTAACTCACATCACACTCTCTTCCCCTGGTTTTCAAGTTCATGTTCATGTTACGTTCATGATAGTGTAAATAGGCCCAGTGAAGATTTTATTATATTTGTTTAATAACAGTTTTGTGTGTATGAATGTTCGTTTGATTTATCAATGGAAGATGTGTAAAATAATTTTAATTTTTTATTTAATATTTTTTTAATAATTCTAATCACCTTGAATATGCAAACAAAAGAAATGTAATAATGTGCAGCGACAGGCCATAAGATAACTTCTGTGTACCTCAATTTTTCGCCGTTTTGCTATCATATTCCTTGCAAGATCCCTAGTATAGAAGAGTAAAGACTAAAACCATCCCGCCGAATTTAGATAATTTAAACTATTAAAGAAGTATCTTCCTAAGAACTTATATCTTCTGAACGCCAAAGCTGGGCATTTACAGAGAAAATGTATTATGGTTTATTTTTCCTGTGGAGTTCCACAACTTCTGCAGTGAGGATTATGAGGAATGCGCAGTTTCTCTGTATGGGTTCCTATACACCAATGACCAAAAAGAACTGCAGTAAGCCTTGCAGTGTTCACGCGGTTTCTTTTGAGAATATATTTTTATTATAGTTGGGCCATGTTAACCTGGAAATTGTATATGACATCTTAAGTCCTCTTCATCTGTTACTGGCAATTTACAGAAAGTAGAGGAAGGTACTTCTCTAAATGGTCTCTAGGGTAATATAAGCCGGTACCGTCAGGTACACATGGAGGGAAGCACCAGAGCGAGCTAAACTGTCAGCTATCTCGTTCCCTTCGATGTTCCTATGTCCATATTATCGAAATATGTACTATTTACAAACAATAATAAACCAAATAATTTGAATAAAGTTTATGATTATCACTGTTGTGCCGTTGTTATTATGTAGGGCGGAAATTTATACAAATATTCGTCCTTACAATATATTTTAAGGTTTTATTTGCTTTACATAAAAGCTTTTCGTTTGGTGAATTATTATCTTTATTTAAAAAGAATTATTTTCTTTTTTTTATTTTTTAAAATAATTTATTATTTAAATTATTGTTATTTTTAGGCAATATCTCTTAATATATGAATTAATATATAGTATATTGTCTTATACGAAAATAATTTAATTTATTTACATAACATATGATATAATTTTTTATTATTATATATAAAAAACTTTATAATTCACATTTTTGTAGATTTGATCTTGTAAAATATTAAAAAATAAGTTTTTTGATTAATAATGTAATTAATTTTTTTTGATTAATGGACGTTAAAAATTAATTTTATATAAAAATAAATGATGTAAACTATAGTGAAAACTGTCCTTAACGAACCTATTTTTCAGCTCATTTTTATATATTCAAAAGGAATTGCTTAGGTCAAGAAGGAGTTAATTTGTTGCAAATAATTATAAATAAAATATTTGATATTCGAAAAGTCCACCTAAGAGACTTGTATCCGCAATGGGGCTATTTGTTAGGAGAGTTTTCACTGTACTGACTAATTTACTACCTAATTAATATACATAAATTTACAAATTCTCCTTCTGTCAACTTAAAATACCATATTTTATAATTATATATGTATATTGATGATAAAAGTCTAAAACCAATAATATAATTTTTATTTGGGAAAAATCTGTTATTTATTTTAATACAGTAGTTATAAATTATGTGTCTATAAAAAGATCACGAAAATTATATATGTATTTCTTTAATTTTTTTTTAATTTTAGAGTTTTAGTTAATTTTAATTGCTCAATATTATTATTATTATAATATCACACCTTTTAAAAGACTAATCTAAACTTCCGGCAGACGGCGAAAATGCCATAGCTGTAAGCTTTATATATATAATAAAATTGTTATAAATTTCTATGTAATACAACATATTTAATATGTAGTAAAATAAAAAAAAAAAAATTATTACACCTTTTTCACATACAGTTCTTTCAATTTTTTTATATCGAGCAACTGCTTCCGGTATCTATGGTTTTTGTAATGTAATTATTTTATCATTTTAAAGCTTTTATCGCTTCAATGAAATTTATCGCTTCAATGATAGAATTTTGAATTTAGTCATTAATATTTAATAAATTTAGTAAGCTAGTCCATTCTTCATCAGGTTGTATTTCATCGTGTATCCTTGTATTACCCGGTTGTATCAGCATAACAGCTTCCGAAGATTCCGTTTCTGTCAAACGCTTTGAAAAATGTGAACATTTGTCGAATACGTGAGCTAAAAGACTTTTGTGTACCAATATTTCGTAAAGCTTGAGCTGAAATACAACTTTTAGAGCAATTTGCTGTGTGATATTCTTCTCTAATGGTCGTCTTTGCACATCGAACAAATACTACAACATAATATTAATTTAAATAATATATTTAACACTTATGAGAGTTAAAAAAACTTACTGTGTTGGATTTAATTTCATTTTTAAAATATTGTTCAGGCATGCAAAAGGTTATTTTCAGTAGCTCCAATAAACTCAGCGAATTCGTGCAATTAGTAAGCATCTTGTGTACAACGTATGTATCAAATAAGCCCGCTAATTGTAATTGATGTCGATGCACCATATGATCACCTATTAAATGTGAGTAATGGACCGCCTTTTTGGGTCGACTGGCTTCTAGTATTTGACGTAAGTCACGCATTAATTTACCCATGCTAGTTATATCATATATATATACATTTTTCTGAGTACAAATTGCTATAATTGAAGTTCGGTTGTTACGACCGCCGCTAACTGGTTCAACTACCAGTCCTATAACTGATTGCATTTTTATGTCTGATATGGACGCATAATAGCTTTGACTACATTGGTAGATTACAGTAACTGACGCGAGTTGTTGACTTATAGCGTTTATTTCCCAGTTGCTTAGATTATATTTGGATTCAATTTCTTTTCGTTTGGAATACTGTTCAGGCGACGATGCCGGCATTGATGACGAAGTGTCTTTATTACTTTCTTCATCAGCTACTATTTTTATTGAGATTATTTGTTGAAATGTGTAAATTTGTGGAGTTGCATATACGTAATTGGTTTTTAAGTTGCGAACGTTTTCAAGTTCAATAAAACCTGATTTTGCACTCAAACATAATATTTTTGCAATTATAGATTCCAATTCTGTTTCGGCCATTATAATTTGCCCAATTTTTAAGTTTTTAAGTACTTTCCTTGGGTCCTCCATTCTTTTAAACTCTAAGGAATACAGTAAAAACAGTTATATTACACATGAATAAGCCAAAAACAAATATTGTTATTGATCAAATTTTGTTCATTTTTATTTATTTCGGCACTGTTTTTATTGACAAAAAAATAATATAAACAAATTTTGTTTTTCATTTCAAAAGCAATCTATTCTATTGTAGCTCTAGCACTTAAAAAAGTAGCATAAAATGTACAAAATTAATAACATTTGCATTATAAATTTTTCGTTTAACGTTTAAATAATAAATAAAAATATTAGCCGACTTTCGTTTAGGGGTTGTTCAAATGTTATTTGCACAATATGGTTAAAATCATTTGTATATATATTTAAATTAATATTTGTTGCATATTACCGAATTGTTGTTACATTAATTAAATGATAATTGTTTGTAATTTCGAAAATATTACTATTTTTTTTAATTAAATTTCGTGTCAAATATGCACTCACAGCAACAAATGCCAAATGCAAATTTCAAACAACAAAACACCGAGCAATAAAAAGAAAACGAACTGAACATATGTTTGTACACAGAGAAAAATTATTGTGAAAAAAAAAACTAATTTTATAAGGTACAGTGATACATGTAATGAATAATAGCTTATATGGCGTTTACATTGGCCGAAAATGGCGCATTTTGAATGAGCCATTTGAAAGTGGTATTTGTTGTATTTCATTCGTTCTCATTTTAAACATATTTTTACTTTGATTAATTACTTTTTGGGAAGTAGAAGTTCTAAAAAGAGGTGTATCGTTTTCAAGGAAGTACAAACACCAAACATTTGTTTACCTTTTTTTATAAATATGTGATAAACAGCTTTCTCAAACTGTCGAAATGCCATGAAGAGCTTTTATTTAGAGTATGTTCAATGTATTTCTTTGTATTTGGAACATATTTGGAACGCATCCAAACGTTGTTGGTACGCATTCATACAGAATGTATTGATATGGAATGCATTCGCACTTGAAATTTTGTATGCAAGAATGAGCCATTCGCTTCTCATTTTCGATTTTTGACCGAAATGAGTCATTTTCAGCCAGTGTAAATGCCGTATTAAGCTGTAAATTTCTAATTATATATTACTAATCTTGCAAAATGAAAAAAAAGTTTATATACGTATGTTGGTAATTGTAATGTTAAGGTTAAACAATTGTTTTACCGTATAAACTGGCGAAAATAAATGGTTAGGATGAAATTTTAAAGTTTAATATATATATGTTTTTTGTTAATCATTTTAAAATATATAATGGTTATAGCATTGACAGACGGGAGTTAAATTATCATTAAGGGGCTAAATTATAATTTATTTGCTCATTTAGCAGTTTTAAATGATCATTTATGGTTTTTAAATGACCGAATTTAACCGAATTTATTCGTCATTTCGTCATTTTCATTTTTAGAAATGGTAATGCTGCATATGAGAGTAAAACATAATAAAAAATGGAACAAATTTCAAACTATTTGGTTGTCAAAATGTAAACAAAACATATTTGGAAACATTGGTATATGTAAGTACTTGTTATATTTTTATATATTTCATGTTTTTTTTATATATTTTATATTTCTTTTATGTATTTTATATTTTTTTTTATATATTTTATATATTTATTGATTTTAGATAACTCAAATTAATAAACTCAAGTGTCAAGCATGGACGGCGCAACTTCTTAATGATAATTTATACCTGTCAGGGTATTTTTAAAATGATTATTTAAGGCTGCTTAATGATAATTTAGTGCGCTCGTCTGTCAATGCTATTAGCATGTTGCTTTAAAAGTTTACCATATTTTCAAAATTGTCAAATTTCTCATGCGTAAGAAAAATTATTACTCCGAAAATGTGTTTATTTTAAGGTGTTGGTAACACTCTACGTATATTTACATTCACAGCAATCAGCTGTCGAACAATTTTGTTAATATGAAAACATTATTTATTAAAATATTATATGAAATTAATATACAGTTTGTCTCAAAAAGCTAGGCAAAACTAAAATTTCTTCACATTTACGACTTCAACAGTTAATAGCAATAAGGCGGTGATATTTTTTGTCATTATTTTTTTTCTGTTCTCATTCTGTCAATATATTTGAACCAGAACACGATCAGAAAAAATTTATTCTTAACAATTTACAGTTATTAACAACGAAATAAAATAAAACATCAAAATACTTACTGTCTCAAAAAGAACGGCAAAATTTTTGCAAGATTGGAAAAACCAAAGCAATTGACGCCAAATCTAACGGTAAATCGACCAATTATGTGATAATATTTAATTTGGAGTTTTAAGTAAGCTAATAGAGTTTATTGTGTTGCATAGTTATAATTATTTTGCTAAGAAAATAGTTAACTAAACTAAAATAATGTTATATTATCACGATGGTCCCACTAGAGTTTGAAGAAAACCACTTACAGCATTAGAAATCAGAAATATTATTCCAACAAGAAAATTTAGCAAATTGTCGGCGTCGGTGAAATAAGAGTTTTCGAGGAAAATATGGATAAGAACTTGTACTTGTAGATATTTTAAAAATTGATCTCAAAAGAAGTGTGCAGAAATTCAATTTTGTTGACCCAAATAACTTAAATAAGCTTAAATTTAAAATGTATCAGGATAACGACCCTAAACATAAATCCCATTTATGCATGTCCTGGTTGTTCTATAACTGCAGTAAAAATATTGACACCCCTGCCCAAAATCCGAACTTGAATCCTATTGAGAATTTGTGGGCACATCTAAAGAAAAAGGTGAGCAAAAGGAGCTCGGCATCCAAAAATTAATTGGTACAATTTATCAAAGAAGAATGGACAAAGATTCCAACTGACTATGACATAAAAAAGCTTATTGGATCAATGAAAAATAGGTTAGAAGCTGTAATAAGCGCTGAAGGTCGGCACACGAAGTATTAAAGAAAAACATTTTGATTTTGCTATCTAAAATAAACCATTGAATTTATTTATTTAAAATTTTGCCGTTCTTTTTGAGACAGTAAGTATGTTTGTAAGTATGATGTTTTATTTTATTTCGTTGTTAATAACTTTAAATTGTTAAGAATAAATTTTTTCTGATTGTATTCTGGTTCAAAAATATTGACAGAATGATAACAGAAAAAAATAATGACAAAAAATATCACCGCCTTATTGCTATTAACTGTTGAAGTCGTAAATGTGAAGAAATTTTAGTTTTGCCTAGCTTTTTGAGACAAACTGTATTTTATGATGTATATAAAAAAATTACATTTTAAATAACTTATAGTACCGAATACTTTGTAAAACCGAATACTAACAGCACTGTTATGAAGTTAAACCACGATCAAGATGTTAGTTGACTGAGTCAAACTGAATTTAAAGGATCAAGCGAAAGCTAACCAAACCAAGCCAATTATGCTGAGATTTCCATTCTTAAGATAAGTGTGGTGGTGTTTGTCGTATCTAAGTTGATTCCTATAGGAGGAACCATAAGTACAACATTGTTTATAAAGAAAACAAAGAATACTGTGTGCAGCTTGACTATAGTGATCATAGCTGTTAAGACAGTTTTGTCTTAAGACAAAACTTAATTTGACAAATATATGGAATAAATCTACATAACAGCACTAGTATGTACTCAAAGCTTGGTGCTAAGTAAAGCTGGTTTTCGTGACGAAATTAGGAAAATTAAATCACATCGTTGTGCAAAATACAGGCGCATCAATCTGTAATCGTTTATCTTTAAAACACTAGAAAGGCTTAACCTATATTAATTTGCTTAATGGATATTTCGCAAGAAGCTTACATTAAGGTGTCGTGGTGGATTGTACTTTTGAAGAAGTGATTGGTTCCATTAAAATGCCTGTAGTTTTATTTATCTTCAAAACACTAGAAAGCCTTAACCTATATTCAATTGCTCAATGGTTATTGTATACGATGCTTACCTCAAAATTGGGTACTCTTCAAGAAGTCGTTGGTTCCATTAAAAGGTCTATATAACTAATGAAGTTAAGTTTTGGAGGCTTCGTAGAGATAGAAGTAGATTTCAATAATGTACACATGTAGTGATCTGCAGGACGCCGATAGAAAACACACTTGAAACTCTGCCATAAATTAATATAAATTAGTATGTTACAATGCTCGAATGCACAGTCATCAACGCTATTATGGGTACCAGGTCTGCCACTTTTAGGCTCTTGGTGGTTAACCAGATTTCAAAGATTTTTGGTATAAAGAGAAAGAAATTTGTTACCAATGCTGACGACATGGCTATTCTTATTGCTACTTTCATTGAAATAGGCAATTCTAAAGTCACAATCGCCCAAAATTACACGGACCGCTCAAAGATAAAGAGAGGTAGAGAAACGGGTATTTACTCGAAGAACTTGCTCCTTTATTGCACAGACAGACCAAAATGATTTAATTTAAAACTCTTATATACTAAATATTTGTTCATATAAATGCCAAGGAAAACATAAAACTCTCAGATATGTTAGAGAAAATCTTATTGATAAGTTTTTATAGATTCTGTCGGGTGCACTTAAACCGATGTAATCAATTTAAATTTAGTTTGGAAAATGTAATGCAGAACAAAATTTTATTTGAGATTTGAAAATTATTGCTCATAGAAACTAATTCCTAAAGGATATGAAAAACATAAATATGAACGTTATTTGAGCTTCTTTACACAGTAAAGGTATGAGGACTGCACACATTTGCTTTGCTTCAAAAATGTTTATTCAATTTATGTACATATATTTTATAATAATTCAAGCGAAAATATTCTTTCCCCTATATGTTCCGAATACCTTGTTTAGTTTTGTGATTATTTGAAATACTTTTCAAGGAATTTCTTCTGTAATATTTACAGAAGATACGCTCGAATAAAAATACGTAATAAGCGGTAACTATTGAAGAACTTGACGATATGCAAAACTAGATGCGTTTGTAAAAGATTTTCAGGTGAATTAATTTTATAAATATGACAAACGCAGTAAAGAAATAACATAACAGTTGATGTATAAAACTGAATTGAAAAAATGATAAAAAGTTTTATCTAAGGAACTAACATTTGTATGAGAAAATGCCAAAAAATTTAATTTTATATGAAGAAATATTTCTATCAAATATTTAGTTTTTGAAAGTTTTAGAAAATATTAACAACAGTGAATACATTATTAATTCAAGTAGTGTTCAACAGTGACTTTTTGAATTTCCCGCGCAATTACTCCAAATGGCGTCAGCTGTAATCTACCAGTGGGCAACTTTTTAATTTTGAGCAAGCTACGTCGTTCAGTTGGTGTTTGACAGCTGTTCAAAGCAGACAACCTCGTGAATTTTTACGAAAATGAAGAAAAGTGAATTTCGTGTGCTGATTAAGTATTACTGTCCAAAATTCACGAATTGGGATACGCACTGCTATCCCATCCACCACATTCTCCAGATTTAGTCCTCTGTGACTATTTTCTGTTTCCAAACCTAAAGAAATGGCGATTTTAACTTTTTTCCATTTTCGTAAAAATTCACGAGATTATCTGCTTTGAACGGCTATCAAACACCAACTGAACGACGTAGCTTGCTGAAAATTAAAAACTTGCCCACTGGTAGATCACAGCTGATGGCAGCACTGTTGCATTTGGAGTGACTGCGCGAGAAAGTCAAAAAGTCATTGATTTATCAAACCATCCTCGTACATATACAGACAAACTTTCATAATTCGAAATTCTATAACTCTAACTAAAAGGAGTGCAACAGCGTTTTAGAGAGCAAATTACATACAATTCTGCTTCCATAACTCCAACTTTTATAACTCGATTTTCTCTATCTCTCGAATAAAAATATTGTCACGTGACAATAGGAATGTGGTAAAGTGCATTCTATAAGTTGAATTTTTGTATTTCGTATGAATTCATAATGGGTGTTAAGGGAAGTCCATTTTTCCAAACCAAGTGTTTAATTTTTTTCTTTCTTATGTTGCCAGCGTTTGGCATTTGTGCAAATGCATAGAATTGTCATTTCTGCCGCTGAATATGACCTCTAAATTGGAACCGCTTGATTAGGGATTAATTCAAAATTTAAAGTGTAACTATCGCAACAGAATTGTAAAGGAAGCGCTAAAGTATATAGAATCAAGCAAAAAGCAGGATATCACACTTATGGATTGCATAAATCATGTAACAAAACCTTGATATATTGATGTAAGTAGTCAAACGATAGCACACTGCTTTAAAAAAGCTGAATTTGGCCAATTTTCTATATGGAACTAACAGGACGACATATTCCCTTAGTTTTCTTTAATATTCATGAAGATCGTGAATTGATGTAAAAGTAAAGTAATTGTAAACTAAATAACTTCCAATGCTACTCTTAACGAATATATTGAGATTGACAATAAAATTTGTGTATCAAGCTTTCCTACAGATGACGATATTATTGAGTATTATAACTCTGAATTAATGGATCTAATTCTAAGCGCAAAGGAAACTGATGATGATGGTTCGGTGAAATTCCTTTTAAGAATAAAGTAGAAGACTTATTCAAAATTGTGAATTTTCAGTTGCAAATGAATGATACTACAACTAATGATCACTATAAGGCTTTGAATATATTGGAATCTTGTTTTGCTAAAAATAAGATATGGTAATTAAAATTCCAAACCTGAATATTTCACTTCACTATAACTTCTATGCTGTGTTTGATTTCAAATAAATTAATATCTTAAAATGTAATTTTAGTTTCTTTTAAAAATAAAATAAAAATAAAAAAATTCTCTAACTCAAAGTAAGTCGAAACTTTTCTTTGCAAAATGGTATACGTATACAGAGATAGTGGCAGAGCTAGACCAACTCTGGACTTCGGCGACATCATAATTGCGAGGCCTCTTTCATACCGAGTTATCAAATTAATAATTTACATTCAAATTAAAATACACAAATTAAATTAACATACTGCTATTTTCGCTACAACTGATAGAATTACCAATGCAGATAGTTTTCCTTGACACATTGTACTTCTCAAGTAGGTCTTAATCAATTTAAAATTCAGAAGCTCCCTTCAGGATGGATTGCCTCATATCGTTGATAAAGTCTGGTGAGTTTGATTTTAAAAGTAGCAGTTCTCCATACATTTAAAAAGCTGGATGTCGCTGTTTTCATCTTCCCGAAGTATTATACCTCAAGCATTACAATACTGGAGAAGGTCTTCGTTTAGTATATTTTTCATATGATTAGTGTCACGTATGAAACCAAATTGTTCAAAATATAAATTAATTGTTTTGAATTGACAGTCGGTATCAATTATGATAACTTCTATCATTGTGGTGAAAATTTTTACTGTTTATCGCATTTCAATATATCATAATAAGGTCATAACTGAGCAATGGTTGCTGTTTCCTGTTATTTTTTCTTTAAATTTTGGTGCAATTTAGTGATTAAAACGTCTAAGTTCTTTAAGAAAAACGATAGTAAAATCACTTAGAAGAATTTAAGTGACAGAGGGAAGATTTGTCGATAACTATTCTGTCACTTTTAACGAAAACAAAAAAGGGTTACACAATAAAACTGATCTCAATCAAATGAGAGTTACCAAGTCCTGACTGTTACCAACTCCATTAACCCACAATTTAGAATTGAATGATTCGGTTTAAAAACAAAATAAAATCTATTTTTTAGTTTCTTTTTGCTACGCACAATTGCGCTTGTTTTAAATCCAGTATTATGATAGTCTGTTTAAAATCTACTTCAGTCGAATGCTATTATACTATATCAGATTTACGCATTCAACAACATCATTAAATTGCAAAAATATCGTTTTTTGGTACTTTGATTCTACTCTCCCAACATGTTTCAGAGAGAGATTTTAAGGTTGACTCGATTTTGCTCGACTTTGAAAAAAGCAAATAGATTTTATTGATAATAAGAGACAAACAAAATCATATTTTCTCTGGTAAGTGGAGTTAAAGTTTTAAAAAACATATATAACTTCTTGCGAGGCCTAGCGCCGCCAAAAATTTTAACACATCTAGAGATTATTAAGTGCTCGGAAAAGATCATGAAGTAAAAAAAATAAGCCATTTTAAAGCACTTTGTAATCTATACTTTGAAATAAATACTAAAAAAGTGATGCTGTGCGTTGAATTTAAGAAGATGGTTTTTTCATTTTTTACTGAAGAATATCAGTGTTTATTTATATCCTGTATACTGGATAAAGTAAATTACTTAATCAAACATTACTCCATTAAGATGATATCAGATCTAACACAAAATTGTTATTAAATATCCAAATACTAACACTTAGCCTACCTTATTATCAAGATATATATGATATATGTATACATATCTATATACCTATAGATAATATAGATATATGTATTTGGATTATCAGTTTTTCTGGGCTACATAAAAAGGCAACATTTTCACTCTAAATAAAGCCTTCAAAAATAATTTTTTTGCCAAATAAGAGCTAAAGTTTTATGAGTGTCTGAAAGACCCTGTACAATTATAAGAAAATACAAACCTCACTTCGCTTGTGAATCGTTGATGTATTTAAAAGAATCAGTAGTCGGCAGTTTATTGTTCAATTTCAAATTATTTATTGTATCTTTATCTTTATATCGCTCTACTATAATTTTTATCGCCAGTTTTTTCGACAGCTTTGAATTTGTTTTGTATGTGTAATAGTTATTACAACACTGGACTAAGGTTCCCTCAATTCTATGCTTTTTCGTTTCTGGTTGATAGGAAAGAGGTTAATAAAAAAACACAAAGCCTTCATGCTTTATAAGTTTCAAAATATTATAAAACTGAGTCATTTTACTGGATTCGAGATGCTTATTCTTTGGAGTGTGATGATGGGTTAAGTGAAATAGTTTTTAGTGTTAGATATTTGGTAAAGCGATTTTTATATTTCAATAGCAATATCAAAAGTGTTTTTAATATGAAATTTTTTAGATTAAATATACTTATTAAATAAAATAAAATAAAATAAAATAAGTAGCACTGTTTGCATAGATTTATATGCAAAACTTATACTACAGCTTATTTTTAATTGAAATTACAATACTTTTTCTCTATATATAATAAATGTTTAGACATAGATACAGACCCATATCAATAAATTTATGTAATATTGATAAATGTTTAACATTAATGGGTAACGTGCAGTGCTTAGCAAAGTTTTACTAGCCAGATAATCGCGCGAAACTTGATTTTGTCCATGATATTGTTTTGGTAATTATTGAGAACAGCGATAACGTCTTTTATCACTAAAAAATATTTCTAGTTCTTTTATTTCATTTGTAAAAAAATCAAATAATAAATTTTACTTTTATTTATTGACGATAATTCTACACACGCAACGTATTACTAAGTTATAAAAATGATATTTCCCATTTCTCTTCTTCGATACCTAGAATACCGCTGACATTGTGAACATCTTCTGGCAAATCCTTTACAACAACTGCAAAATCTGGCACTGAGCAGGCGTAAGAATATCCTTTGTAGAGATCTTCTTTGGCCCAACTGATCCAATCAATATTGTGTCCAATATCTTCACATAATATGTAGTCACGTTGTATTTCTTCCAATGAAAGATGGGGATTATTTACACCGATTAAAACAATACCTTTTCGTGTTTCCCGCTCAATAACAACGCGGAAGTATATCATAGGTACTGGTATTAAACCGTTATTGTTTTCATCAAAATCCAAATACAGCTTCTGAGGAACATTTTGATAATCTGGCAACGTTGTTACGCCCCATGTGCCCGTGTAGCAATCTGCAGTCATATTATTATTGCTTATGAATTTTCGTACACCATCCTCTACACGTTCCCAATTTCCACCGTTAAATGACTGCCACTGTGGTGCTGCATTGACAAAGAAGAATGTTGCCTTTTGGGGTGCACCAAAGATAAAGTCCACCTTTGCTGCCATATGTCCACGTGCCATGTATATATTATTGCTAATGTTAAAATAAGGTGAAGCGTCCATGCCTAAAATGTTACTGACTGTTATGTTTTGTTGAACTTGAGTGTAAAGTTGATCAACATTTTTTCCACCATAGAAAGTTCCTTCAGTGAAACGTGGTCGCGTAACGGAACGTTGATAAGCTGCGCTGGATGGATATAATACATGATGTACATATCGCGTTACTTCATTATTTTCATCGTGGCATATATCCATTGTTTGTAAGAACCCATTATTTATTTGGAAACCAACTTCTAACAAATCAGTACCACCATTACAATCACGTCCAGTGAGTCTGGCTGTATAGATAGGCCAATCGGTGCAACTAAAGTTGGAAAATGGATAAATTGTATCATTTACTAGAAAATACATATTTTGTAAACACTGTGCTTCTATAGTCGTGACGTTACTGAAAGGTGACAAAAATGATTCACTGCAATGCATATCAATTTTCTCTCCATTTTTTATGTTGACTACACCATCAGAGTCAGGCAGAATCCATTCTAGAGCTCTATGTGTTGTGAAAATCGGTGAGGGATCATTTAGATCGCCATTAACACGAAAGGAGCAATCTCCTCTAACTACTACGCCAGGTGATTCCTCTGATGATGGGGATTTCGTAGATTTAAAAGGAAAATTATTTAATCGCGGATGACTTTGTATCGTACCGGAATTAACTAATCCAATGTACAGTAAGCAAATCGAAACAACTGTTAACGATTTCATTTTTACACTGATAAGTTCGAAAAACAAAGACCATATCATTACCTTTAATTATTTTAGTTCTTTTATATGTTGAAGACTTTAGGTACGTTTGTTCGATTTCTTATCATAGATAAGCAATTTTGAATGATTTAGAACTGGTAGAATTTAATGTATTTATAATCAGACCAACTTCAAGTCAGTAGGCCAGGGGTATACCATGCGATTATTCAACAAAGTGAGCTAATATCACGTATTTCTAATCATTTAATTTTTTCCGTAGTCTTCAATAACATTAACATTGCTTATATGAAGGCATTCCAAAGAGAAATTTAATCCTAACTAAATTTATTCGTTTAATCCGTAGCATTGACATAGTTTTTAATGCTGTTCCTCATTTCCTTTTCATTTTGCATTTAAGTTTTGATGTTCGTTTCTCCAACAATTTGCAGTGATGCTCAAATATAGTACTTAATAGTCTAAATTGCAACAAAAACGATGTTGTTTTGCATACTATGGAATTTTTTCTTTTTTAAATAATTTTGTTTTTTATGAATGCTTGAGCAGTGCTGCATGACTAACTTAAGTCACTGAGCTCATTTCATAATATAACATACATATATACATTTAATTAAGTCGAGCAATTAAATGGTGTTTGGTAATTTATTGCTATGATTGCTCTTGTAATCAATGGTTTTACGAGTTAATCCTAGAGGTATTGATTAAATATAATGCTCTCCATATACTCCTTTCTTACGATTAGGTTTTACTATGTAAAGTTAGTTTCTGTAATACCTGCACTCTTGAATTAAGAGTTTAAAATGCATAAATTTAATCAGTTTAACTTTTTTTGAGTATTAAGTCAGTTCCGATATCAATATATAAAAGTTCTTTGGGGTTCTTAAAAATAGTTTTGCAAAAATTTTAGTCCTGTCCAGCATTAGCAACGTATATAACTATTTATCTATTGCGCTATAAATGACAGCCCACATAGATCACAAAATAATAAAAACTTTCTGCAAGATTGTATACGAACAAATGGAGAACGCACTAATCAATCAAATGATGCGTCAATGTTTTCAATAATCGGTGTCATGTTTTCAATTTTTTTCAAATATCGTATTATGGTCCAATTTAAATTCCTTTCGCCGGACTAAAATTGTTAACAATAAGTGCTATTTAAGTGACATGCAATATTTTGTGAAACTAAGAGGTCCGATTGTTATACATATTATTCTGAAAATTTTAGGCGGCCAATTTTTGATTTTTGCACCATTACAACGCACCATTCTGCATTGGGTCGTTAAGACCAATTTGCCAAAAACTCAACTTATATCGTTCCATAACCAGCGTATTCGATTAATTTACCACCATGTGACTTTTGGTTATTCTCTAAGCTCAAGAAACTACTCTAAAGATACCGTTTTGATTCGATTGAGGAGTAAAACCGCAGGATGAAACTGTGTTCTATTGAGAGCATTCCGAAAATACCATAGTGATAAATAGTATCACTAGCAAAAACTTTTATCTGTTCTATCGGGTATGAAGTACTTTGAAACTGATAAAATTTATTTAAAAAAATAAGTAAAAATTTTGAAAGTTATAAACAATTACATTTTATTTTTATCAGTGTTGTTTCCAATACTTGGTTACTTTTTGGCAAGTAGTTGCAAAATGTCGGGAAAACGTTGCTCTAGATTGTATATATTATTATAATCTTATGTTATTGATACATTTTAATTTATTTTCTTTCCTATTTTAGGTTTTCAAAGAAAGAATTCTTAAAATTAATTATTAGTTATTATTAAATAATTTTTATTATCGCATGGTATTAAATCACAATTTTATCTTACAATTTCATACAATTTTATACAGTTTTATATTAAAATTGAATATTTTAAAAAATTAAAATTAAATTTAATTAAAATAAAAATTAAAATTTTCCACAATATCAGCATTTTGTGAAACATTATTTTATTATGAAGTTCTATGTCAATTGCTCGTGTGAACAGGATGTAAGCACAAGGTTTTAGCAAAAAAACCAATTACTCTTATGAGTATTTGAAATACGTATAATAGTTTGTTTCCACTGGCTTCGTTAGACCAGTTAATTTAAAACGTACTATAACACAACATCTTATAAATTAAACTACTAAAAAACGATGCAGATTAAGAATGAAATATAATAAAAATTGCTTTAAACGAAATACGAATATTTCATATTTCATTAGGTTGAAATATTACATATCTCTTTCCTTTCATTTTAATTAGAGTATGTGTATGAAGAAAAAAAAAAGTATTGCAGTTTGTCTGATAACTTTGTCTATGATTGATAAAAAAATCTGATTTGATTTTAATAACTATTTGAAAATAGTGTGAACAGCAAAATAAAATAATGAATCTGCCTGATAAACACTTGTCAAAATGAAATGGTGTGGAAAACCATAAGAGAGGATCTGTGATAATATCTTTAAGTTGCAAATGTGCTGAATCTTTAAAAAATTTAAAAGTTTGCTTATAAGTTTGATTATTTAATGAAACTTAAGACTTTGCTCATAAGAAGTTCTTGAAGTAAACGTTGGATTCTTTAATGAAACTTAAGAGTTTGTTCATAAGAAGTTCCTGTAGAAAACGTTCGTTTCTTTAATGAAACTTAAAGGTTTGTTCATAAGAAGTTCCTGAAAAAAAAGTTCGATTCTTCAATGAAACTTAAGAGTTTGTTTATAAGAAGTTCTTGTTCTTTACTAGAAGTCAAGTCAATCAACAATGTTTGGAAGTTAACCATAAACTTGCTAAATATGAAATACTTAAGAAAATTTAAAATGGAGTATTAGTTTTATAGGCATAAAGTTTTCCGCGCTTATATGATATATAAAAAAAAGTTCATAAATAGTTTGGTACAGTCTTCCTAGAAGATAGAATTATATAAGAATGTGTGTATGTCAAAATAAAAATAATATTAACTCATAATAATTTAAAACTTTCGAATATAATTAATTACATTAAAATTACAAATGTAAATTCCAAGATCGTGTTAAGTTTCTCAATGAATAACTCTGATTTAATATAGATACATGTATATATATACTGTAAATATGTGTGGTATCTATATTTTTTAAAAACTTTTAGTAAATAAAACAATGCTGACCTTTTCGAGGTATGAAAAAGTAAACAAAAAGATAATGCCATTGTGCTTTAACGTACGTTGATTGTTGTAAACCGAGAGTGAAGAGATGCATAAAAAAACTATCTCTTATTAAGTAAACGGAATAAAAAATAGCATTTGTTCTGACTAAAAATAAAATAAATTAGTAAGTATTTTACTGTGTTTCAACATAGCAAAATTCATTTCCGAATTTCAGTAATAACATCATTTACCATAATATGAGACGATTTCGTTGAGATTTCGGAAGCTGATATTTTAAAAATTGCTATTATTAATAATAAAAAAGATATTTGTATAATTTTAAGCACTTTGTATACAGAGAGAAAGATATGGAGAGAGTATCTGTGCTGAAAACATATCTCGTCGTGTCGTAGATACATTTTGTATATTATTTTTATATTCATTCAGTAGTTTGACAGAAGCGCGACGTGATGGTTTTTGTGAAAGTTGTCGTGTTGTCTTTTTGTTTATTAAATTTTTGTTTCGTCAAGACACAAGGCAGACAAGCCATAAAGCCATGTGCAGATGTTGAAGATATCGTCAAAGACTTAAGTGGTTTGCATATAAATCAAGCAGATAATAGTAGTAAGTAAATATAGTTGTGAACTAAATATTTATTTTCTTCTTATTATATTTTTTTTTATATTGATTTTTAATCTTTATTTATATATCATTAATTATATATATTAATTATTGTGTGTCTATAAAATGAATTAATAAATATTATGTATATTAATTCATGTAATTTTATGTAAAAATTTCAAAATGAAAATAATTTGCGAGTCATCACATGAAATTTTGTTTCTTTATAAATTTATTGCTCAGTTAAAATAAACTAAAAAAAATATCATTTTTGGTTGACTGTAAGTGGGTTAACTGAAAATTGTTACAGTGTAGTTTCTTTTGCAAAAATTTGTTTTTTAAAAATTTTAAACATATAATTAAAATCAAATATAATAAATATGTAGATGTAATTTATGTTGTAATTTATTTTATTTTATTAAAGTTTTGACGTGAAATCGTCTAACAGTCGGTACCACAAAAGAGTCCTATTGTACTTATATCACTATTGATTACACAAAGCGCTTTAAAGCTTTGTAAACAAAGTCTAGAACTAAATCTAGAAAAGAGATCCTAATCTGTTCTGCTGACAGAAATTCCACATGAAACAAGTATCGTCTGCGAGTTATTAAAGCTGGACAGTCACAAAGAATATGCATAGTAGTCCTCATCTTTGAGGCATAATTTGCATTCCGAATTAGCAGATAATCATAGTTTATATTTCAGTCCTTAATGACCTATAATGAAACCCGTTATCAACCCTAAATTACATTTTGAGTATTTAAGAATGCTTTGTAGGAGTACGGTGTTATCACTGCTTTGCTTTGTCTAAATCCTGGGAAGTCTTTCCAGTCCTCCAGCCGCATATGATTTTTCCTTTTCTTAATAATTTGTTTTGTATTGGCCCAGTTTAACTCACAACCCCTCATAGGGTTGAGGCCTTCACAAGTTGAGGGCCTGTGAAAGTAGTTTTTGATGCAGTTCTGGCTAGTTCATTAGCATTTCTCAAAATTCCCCTGTGACCCGGAACCCAGTAAAGGCTTACCTTATTCCGAGCTGCAAGTAACTGTAAGAGTGTAACATTCAAGGACCTTTTTCGACTTGAAAGTCCAAGAAGACAGATTAGATAACAATAAATATCAATTCTCGAGCCAGTCAGTTTTTTGATGATATTGGATCTTACATATAAGTTGAATGCGTGAATTTCGGGATGGAAGACACTCTGTCATGTGCCCATCGCATTCGAAATTCTGGTGTTGGGTCCATTATCACTCAACAATTACATCCAATTTAATACTATTCGAAATACCTTTCTATTGAAAACAAAAATTTATATTTAAAATTTAGTTTTTTTCATCAAAATGGACGCTAAAATTTAATTTAATAAATATGAAAAAAAAATTGTATTAATTTCTTATTTTCAAAGAGCCATTGAATAATAATTTATATTAAATTATTGGGTTAAGCAATTTGTGATTCCATAAGTAAACGTAAATGAAACATACTTGTGATTAAGACTTCGTTCAAGTTTTTATATCCGTATTTATTATGTAGACATTAACATAAAATGTTAAATACAATTAAAGTTCTATAACTCAGGCACCATTTTGCTAAGAAAAGGTTCGACTTATGTAGAGTTCGAGTTAAAGAATATTTTTGTAATTGTATGTAATTTGCTCTCTAAACCCGGTTGCACTCTATTTAGTTCGAGTTATAGAAAATGGGAATTATAGAAGTTCAAGTTATGGTTGTTTGACTGTATATCATTCATATAGAAAAATGATTCAGTACTGACATCTAACAATGTTGGATCGTTTTAAGCTAATGTTCTATTATTTTAGCACATGTATTATTATATATTATTGGCACATAGCTAACAATAATACGAACATAACTTAATGGAAGTGCGTCAAAATGTTTCCAAGTAAAAATAGGAGTTTGGGGATTATCTGCATAAATAGAATTCTTTGCGTAATACTGCAAAAAAAAAATTCACAAGTAAAGTCATGCAAAATTCAATTCATATACATTAAGACTGAAAAGTTTTCGGAAATTCTCATTTAAAATTCGCGCGCTGTATATTTTTCGATATTTTAAGTTTATGTAGTTTGGCAGCACTGTCCTTAATTACTATGCCAAAAATGAGCGCGATCTGTCAGACAGTTCGTTTACGGCAGCTGTTGAAACCAGTTCCCCTCAGTAGTGCGTTGCGAAATGTCTTCGACGGTCGTACGACCGTCCTGAAAGGCTTTGTACCACTCATAAACTTGAGTTTTCGATAAAACTGATTCCCCATAAGCCTTTTGTAGCATTCGCAACGATTCTGCACACGAAATTTCGTTCGAAACACAAAATTTGATGCAAACTCTTTGTTCAATATTTTTTTCCATTGTTTTTTTCGCAACGCACTACTGAGGTGAACTGGTTTCAACAGCTGCCGTAAACGAACTGTCTGACAGATCGCGCTCATTTTTGGCATAGTAATTAAGGACAGTGCTGCCAAACTACATAAACTTAAAATATCGAAAAATATACAGCGCGCGAATTTTAAATGAGAATTTCCGAAAACTTTTCGGTCTTAATGTATAAAAACGTAAAATTACACATCTAAGAAAAACAAAGCATAATAGGATGTGTTGTGTGGCTTGTAGTACCATCCCGTTGAAATTATATATCCACTCCATATCTTCAATTTCATAATTGAATCATGTTTAAGTTTAAGGAATTAAAATGGTTTGTGACGCAAACATTATTGTTTTCAAATCATGTGAGCCTTTCACATCTTTGGATCATGGCATCATACTATATAGTGACTTGTTTAGATACAATGGTGTTTTGGGAGTTATTTCTCGAATTTCACTTTGTTTACACACTAAACAGGGCTTGATTACTGAAAAAAATTCGATACTTTTTGTATTCACCATTTTCCAAGAAAGTATTCACAATTTTAGTCTGCTAAGCGGTTGTTAAACGATGCATATTATTAAATGGTAAACCTAAAATTAAATACATGATTTCCGTGATAGTTCTGTTTAAAATGAATCATTAAACCGTGGCTATATATCAAATTAAATATATACATATTTTTAATTTGTAATTAAATGTATCTATAAAATTAAAAATCAGTAAGTTAACGGGTTGGTTAACTTGTTAAATATTTCCGTTATTTCAAATGTATTTTTTCACAACCTCTGAAGTATTTTCCGGGTGTAAAATTTCATGACGAATTTTAAGTAATCGAACCTCGAATATATTTTTTTTATTTGCTATCCATGGAATTTCAATTAATGTGTTTTAAGTTAATGAAATACTAAAGTTTATATTAAAATGTAAACTTTCTTGTCTTTTTCCTTAACCAAGAGATTAATATTTTTTTGTAGTTTGATAATAAAAATTATTCAACATATGTACAACACCAAAAGTTTCATTGCGAATTTATCTACAAAAACGTCAGATTTAAGTTAACGTATCGGTACAATATCGTATCGGTTGATTAGAGTATTGAGTATTGTTTCAATATTTTTTTATTTAGCAAATAAATAATATTCATTTTGTATTTATTGATAGCTTCAATAACACTATTCAAAATAATATTTTTAATAAATAATTTTTTACGATGATGTATTCTACTTTTGTTTTTAGATTTTATTTTTATATTAATGATAATGTAGAACTGTTTAGCTTATAAGAAATGCAAATTGTTTAAATTAAATGTGACAAAAAAAATCCATATTTAATTGAACTTAAATCGATATTAAATAAAACTTTTATTATTAAAAGTTTATGTTCACGTAAATATAAAACAACACTATAAGCATATAAATTATATACATTACATTCTCACAACACAATACTATACTATCTATACTATATAATGCTATAATTTATTTATTAGTTAAAAGTACATTAAAAATTTTAATTAACTTAAAAACTGCATATAAAGTAAACGTTTTTTTTTTGTAATATACAGTAATATATATTTATATATATATACAGTAATTATATAAATAATTTTTAATATACCATTTATTCAAAATGAATGATCAAAATTGATTAACAAAAATGCATATTAATGTACTATTACTCAGTACTTAGTATTATTATTGATTTTTCTTCTTCTGTGATCATTGGGTGATCTGATCATTGAGCCTGTGATCACTTCGGTGATCTACGGCAGCAAATGTGTTGTTGAATTATAATATAGAGTTATTCAGGTGATTTTATAAAAGTATAGTTTATAGTCCAGCATATCTTTCTAAATATATATATTGCATTTATTTTAAAAGATTGCAATTCTGAATTAGTGCGAGTACCCATAGAATCAAACAATTTCAAGGAATCGATTTTGTCTTTCATGTACTTTAGCAGATTAACGATTATTAAATCCTTGTGTATATCTTCATTTCTGATATATCACGGCGCTTAACGTATACGTTTCAATACAATAATTTGATAAGTTTATAGTTTTCTAATGGTCGATGGAATAACATTGCCATAAGAAACACAATCATAAAGCAGTTTATATGCTTATGAATCAGAGTTTGATTTCTCCCACTTCACTTTCTTTGTATTAATGATTTCAGAGCATTCAGTTCTTTAGTAAGGTGTATCTTCTGTCAAGAGTTTGAAATAAATATTTAACAATATCAACCCTTTCTATTTTCACATAATTGACATATTCTTCTAGGATTTTATTCTCTACGTCTTGCAATCAAAATAGTTTTTGTTTTTTCAGCATTTACTCCTATTTTCCACCTTCAAGAGTATCTTATTTTCTTTCAAATATGAAAAATTCTTTACAATAGAATAAACTCGAAGAATGAAATAGTATTCATAAAATCCGCTGTATATATTTTATACAATAAAGGGGACAATAGGGAACCTTAAGGGATGTCCGCTTTAATACTTTTCTAGATGAAAAGTGGTTTTGGGCTTCAATCGATAATTCTCTATTTGATAAAAATGTAGTTAAAAGTTTTCATAATTTTTTGTTTGACGATCAACATATTATGGTGCACCTTATCAAAAGCTTAATCAATATCAAATAGAAAAGCTGACAGATTTTCTTTTAGTTTGAGAATCTCTTACTAGCTGGGGATCCCTGGAAAGATTTTCTTGGATTTCGATTTGTTTTTTAATAATACTTTTAGCCATAACTATATTTTTGAGTTCTATTGCCAGTACCATTTTTTCTGCTTTTTTAACTATAGCAGGTAACAACCTTATAGGTCTCTAATTTTCAGGCCAAGAATGGTCTTTTCCAATTTAACTACAATTTTTAATAAAGCTACACATATCTCAGTGATGATGCAGTTTTTTATTGAAACTTTCATTCCTTCTTACTCATCACTTCATAGCTACTTTCACATTTTTTCATGTTAGATATTGGCATCAACTGGAGTGGTTGAAGGGTGTGATTGAAAAACATCAACGAATAGTGAATGTAGACTGTCACCTTAAAGTATCACGCACTGTGGTCATTTAAATATTTAGAATAACCTCTTCTTTTTATAAAACTCTCCTTTCAATTATTTCGTACGTCAATTTAATAATCGATTAATGCATGCACAAAAACTCCGTATAAAATCGGTCAAATCTTGTCCTTTTAAGAACTTCTAAGGTTTCTGAAATAGTCTTAAGTATTTTTTGCATGACTATTTCCAGTATGCTTAGTTGACGACTCATATGCTTCCGATTACGCGGGAATATTATTCAATGAGAGTATTTCACTTTCCAAGCTATTTTTATTGCAGACGTGGTTTCTTTTCGATTACTGCCATTGCGGCTTGCAATATCGAGAGTGTTTTTATAATCTACTATATTTTGAGACATGAATATTGTATAGAAAAAAATTGGACTTGAGCAGTTGAAGCATAAAATATATGAAACTATATAAAATTTATATTTGTCTTTTTTATGTGATTTAATTGTTTACTAAATAAATTTTATTTTGACTTTCTAATATAATATTAACAAACATTTCTGATAGTAACTGGTAATAAGTAAATACATTTAATTTAATTTTCAGATTTAAAGTGCACGTTGGATATACAAAAAGACCTGTCGAAGCCACATGAACTACAGCCGCTGTATATTGTGCCGAATAGAAGCAATTTTTGGCAACCGAATTTGAAAGGGCAAATAGAAATTCCTCATGGTGCCAGCATAGAGCTTTATTGCACGAAATCCTTTGCAAATGCTACCGATAATAACTCTACTCTACAAAAGATACCCAAAAATACAAGAACTTTAAAACCATTGTGCTTACAGGACAAAACCTTCATACTGCATGGCGAGAAATTTGAATTCCAACAGTTTGTTTGTACTCGTCCTGTGAGGTACACTGTCGAACGAACCTCAAAGGTGTGCACTGAGAACGGTGCACACATTTATCGCGTAGGCTTCAACATTACAAAACAACGATTCATTGAAACAATGAAAATATGTCACAATGATAATTTATTAAGCACACATTATACGCAACATATGCTGTTGCCCGGTAGTCTGCATTATCAAAAATACGTTAAACGTTTGAACTTCAGCAAAGCGGGCTATTTCAACGACTATAACGTACAGTTTTTGTACAGTCGTAAGAACCAAAACGAAAAAGCCGTCACTCTGCTAGAGGGCAATCACGCACAGTACTTCGATAATAGTTCATTCTTTTTGAGCCGCGGGCACTTGGCCGCAAAGGCCGACTTTATTTACGCCAGTCAGCAGCGTTCTACGTTCACCTTTCTCAACGTGGCACCGCAATGGCAATCATTTAATGCTGGTCAATGGGAAACTATGGAGGATGCAGTAAGAAAGTTTATTGGAAAATCACAGCTTGAAGTTGACTGTTATACTGGGACACACGGAGTCATGGAGCTGACAGCGAATGGTGGCAATAAGCGACTGTTTTATTTAGCCTATGATGCGAATAATAATGGAATTTTGCCTGTACCAAAGCTTTACTATCGCGTTATAGTTGATCGCAAGAATAGAAAACGCGGCATTGCATTGGTGGGTGTCAATAATCCTCACGTTACTAATAGTGAGCTGCAAAATGTGGATGGCTACATACTGTGTGACGATGTACGGGAGCAGGTGCCATGGTTACGTTGGATACGCAATGATAAATTGACGAAAGGATATATGTATGCTTGTAGAGTAAATGAATTTGCTTCTGTAGTTGAACACTTGCCAAAGCAATTATTGAGTGTTAAGGAATTGCTTATAGAATAATAATATACATATTTGAATAGATTTCTAAGTAGTAGTCAAAGTCAATATGTTGTGATTTATTGTTTATGAAATATACTAAATATACTAAAATGTTAAGTGATAAGTAATTCACAACAAAAAAGTAAACATTTTGTATTGAATATATTTTTAAGAGTTTCTAATAAAGAAATAAATATTTATTAAAATAAGTACATTTCAAGGTATATATAAATTAGACTTCTTATTATTTTAAATTTTAAAGATTTTAAAAAGAAATGAAGGCGACATTGACTCATAATAGGACTGTTCCACGAGCTACTTGTAGTAACTTTGGGTAACACTGTTTTCTTACCAAATTTTCGAGCATTTTACTTGTGTTTTACTTGAGTTTTACTACGAGTAGCTCGTAGAACAGACCTAATGTTACAGAATTTAGATTAAATGATTATAATACTGTCTTTACTAAATATTACAGTAGAAATATTAAAATTTTCTGTAAATATAGTTTTTGAGATGTGCTGTCTTTAGCATGTATTGCCTCACCGACACCACTCAAAATATTTCAAAGATAAAAGTATTTTAGCTACAATAGTGAACGGTAGCCAAATTATGGATTTTTAACAAGAATTTGGTATGGATTCATTTGTCTAAAATATACCACGTAATGAGAGATCCATAGATAAATATTGGTATGATTACAATTATGTGTAACAAGAATTTGGTATGGATTAATTTGTCTAAAACATACCAGGTAATGAGAGATCCATAGATAAATATTGGTACGATTACAACTGTGTGTAACCAATGTAAAATGTTGTGTTACAGTACATAAATTGAAGTTTATTGTGTGTGATATGTAATTAGAATATATTTATTTTGGAAAATTGTTTCCTTATATTGATATTTACAATTATGGTCATCTCTCAATAGATATTGTAAGCCTGCTTCTTGTTTTTATTTTTATATAAAATAAAACTCATTTGATCCATATATGAAATAATTTCAATTTCAGAAAATTTTACAATATTATGATTATTAACTTCAAAAAACGTTAAAATGGTATTTTATTGTACGAGAATCACTATTAATATTTTGAGCCTAATAATGAAAAAATACTAATTTGGCGTTGAAATTTGCTTTATTGTACTCTTTTATGATTAATACACTTTTGCATGCTTTCGAACCATTTGTCAAAGAATTTTTTCCAATCTTTTTCAGATACCTTTAAAAAATGGTTTTAAAATGCAACAACGGCTTCTGCTTCGTCTGCGGTTGGACAATAAAAATCATTGTCCACGCAACTTATTCACAACTTATTCATACATCTCGTCTAACAACTGACTATTTGAGCACTCAAAACCTCAAATTGATGGGTCATCAGCCGTACTGATTTCGGTCGCTATTTCGCAACCAATGACTTCTTCTTGTTCCCAGAAGAAGTCATTGGTTGCGAAATAGCGACCGAAATCAGTACGGCTGATGACCCATCAATTTGAGGTTTTGAGTGCTCAAATAGTCAGTTGTTCGACGAGATGTATGAGCACTCGCATTGTCTTGATGGAGATGGATAATGATCCGATGGTACTAATTTGTATTTTACTGAAGATTTCTGGTAAACAAATGGTTGTATACAATTCGGAATTGACCGTTTGACTTTTTTACGTTCTTGTAATGGTATACTTGTAGTTGCCACATGATCAGTTTTAACGATAAAAAAGCATAAGCGATTCTTTATTTCGAAATATTTCGAGCGCGAATAACTTTTATTTGATTTGGTTTATCTTGAAACATTAATGCAGTCGACTGCTGTTTATGTTCCGGTTCATATGCATATATCCATTATTCGTCACCTATTGCGATCTTATAAACGTGTTTTAAAGCACCGCCATTGTTTTTCTTGAGCATTTGTGTGCACCAATTGACACGAGGATGTTTTTGAGATTTTGTCAAATAATGAAATAATGGGGAATCCAACAAGAAAAAACTTTTGTTACGGCTAAATGATATTGCAATATTTTATATATGCTGGTGGAACTAATGCTTAGGGTTCTACCTCAGCTTTAATCTCACAGTATGTCGCATGACGATCTTTACTCGTATCAGTTTTTTCGTAGCCTCAATATTTTCTGAACGACCTTCACGAATTATGTCAGTGAAGGTCAGCGAACTGCGTTCACGATTAAAATCATTGTTCCAGCGTTTCGCAGTGGCAAAGAATGGAGATGGAGCTTCATCGCCAAATATGGAAGTAAGTTAATCGATGCACACTTGTCCACGTCGAAAGTTGTGATAAATCATCGAACGAAAATTTTCTCACGTTAATTCAAATTTTTCGCGAACCCTCACTTTACAAATCACTGTAAATAACACACAAAACGCTCTTTTGAGAAAGTCATAAGGTAGGTTATGTTTAATAATGTCAAACTTTTGTATGGAAATGGCAGATGACACCTGACAACAATCAGTGTTGCTAAGGCTCAAAATATAAATAGTGACCCTCATAGTAATATAGGCTTTATTATTATTTTGAGAATGCATATTCGTAGAAATTTTTAGTGGTAAAATAACTTCAGTCAAGTTAATAACATTATAAAATAAATGGATATATTATGTCATTATCAAATTAACAAAATTACTTAATTATAAACAGTTTAGCAAAAGTCCTCACGACCTCACTTCCCACTCAAAATGGCGCTTATAATTGATAATTTGTGATGTCAAAGCGAGTTACTTTGTGAATTTTAAATCATCCAACTTAACACATGAGGATGTGTCTGTATATAAAGGTTGTGCAGAACTGAGAGCAATATTAAATGTAAGAATTCGAAAAATAGTGAAGATAAAATTTCTTTATATAAATTTCATTAAAAGTTTTGTTAAAAAAATATGTCAACATTCAATTTTAATGATTTTATGGAATATTCAAACTTTGCTTTTAGATTAGCTGGCATAAGGCCCTTCACATGGAATGGAGCTTCATCTGAAGTTGAAAATGTGGTCAGCTTAAAGACAATTTGGTTTCTGGTTGGTTTTGTGAACCTTGTGTATCAAAATTTTGGTTTGGTGATGTTTTTACTACTACCGCAATCGTTTCACTCCGATGAAATCGATGAGCAGGAACAAATAGCTAAAATTGCTGAAACTATAAGCATTATGTGCCTTACATTTGTCTGTGTTTGTTACATTTGGACAACATTTTGGCATGGAAAACGATTTTCTATTCTTATGGAGCAGTTTCAGCTCATATTCCCAAGTACCTGTGTACAACAGCAGCAAATCAAGTACAGATTTAACCAATGCGGAACAAGTGTGTTATAGATAAATTCCTTAAAATCTTCATGTTTTAATTAAATAAATTATTTCCTAATTTATTTCCAGCTGCCGGTTTTTACCGTGTACAGTATTATTATGAGAAATCACAACTTTTGATGAGAGTGACAAAACTTTTTTTTATGTCTGCAATGATCTATTACAACTCTCTGCCAATAGTTGAACTGACTTATGAGGCATTCTGGCCGAATAATATTGTAAAGTATCGTTACCAATCGAATACGTGGTACATGTGGCAAAGTATCGAGAATCAAAAATCTCTTGTTTCGTTTGTGGTTGCGTACTTCTGTCAGATGTTTTCATCCATCATTGGAGTTTCCTTTATAATGGCGGTTAAGTTTATGCTGTGTTTCTTCATAACTCAGATGCAAATGCATTTCGATTTCTTGGCAAATGCATTGGAGAATTTGGATGCCACCCAGCAGAACGCCAATGAACGGCTTAAATTCATAATTAATTATCATAATCGATTACTTGAGTAAAAAAAATTAAATTATCTTCAACATATTTAAGATAAAGTTTTTTTCTTATTCTTTAGTTTATCACGAGAAATGAATAACATTTTCAATGTCACATTTTTGGTTAACTTTTTCACTTCATCAATTGCAATGTGCTTAATGGGATTTTCTATGTTGATGATTAGCTTAGCCCACGCCTTTAAATACTTTGTTGGTCTTTTGACTTTCATCGTATTTACCTTCTTCATATGCTATCAAGGTAGTGAGCTAACAAGCGCAGTATGTATATCATTCCTTTATATTTACCTAAAATAAAATATCTTTTCATTTCTGATATAAGAGTGAAAAATTGAGAAATGCTGCGTTCCATAGTAATTGGTATGAGGGGAACTTGCCGTATCGCAAAATGATATTATTTTTTATAATGCGATCGGAGAAACCTACTGTTCTAAGCATTCATAAATTTACTGCAGTGTCCATGCCAACATTTATGGCGGTAAATATATTGTTTCAATATACTTAAGAATATATAATAATTAAAATTTTTGATATTTTGCTGTGCCAAAATTTCTTTCCAGGTTTTAAAATTGTCATATCAACTGTTTTCGGTCTTTCGTGCAACTGCTTAATGAAAACGAATAGAATATCCTGAATATCAAAATAAATTAATTATTTAGCAATGCTTAGAAATACAATAAAATATAAATTATTTTATCTTTAAAATTTCGTTTAAAAAAACATACTAAGTAGTAAGTTAGAAGTTCGGGAGTGCCCAGCACTGATGCGCAAACGGAAGAAACACCTAGGAGGGTATTTCATGGATCATAAAGACTCTAGACTAGGAAAGATAGGCTTTATACTGTCTTTCATTAAATAAATTGGACTTGGAGAAAAACTCTAATCCGGTTAAGGGCCACAATAGATCTTCTAGGTCGCAGTGCACCATCACTTCTTTTTGAATAATAATGTCAATAAGTTAGAATTATTGGCGATTTCGATTAAGATTGCAAACAAATCGTACAAAAGGAAGTTAAAATGCAAATGCGTCAGTATAGGTCATATCTGATAACTAACCTTTTGTGGTGATTGTGTTATAACTTGATGCATACGCTTTTTGAGACCAGCAAAATACTGCGCTATACCACACTTAAGATCTAAAAATATTCTGCAGCGTCAGATCAGTGGAATATTTAGCTGTTTTCGAAAGATGAACTATATTCTTCCCATAAGCAATTATTTTCTAGTGCACTAGTACACTATTACTTCGTAAATGGCGACCATCTTGCTCACCATTCCTCCAAAATTTACAATGTATCTTTTATAAAATGTTAATAATGTCAATTAACGTGTAATCTTAAACTGCCCCTCCTAACAATCCCTGCGGAGAGGGGACAAAGAATACTCCCGCGGTTAGGATTGCCAGTCGTAAAAGGTGACTAAGTATCCCCCAGTGCCAGTCAGACACTTATGCATGAAGTGTAAATGATAGTGAGTTGAGTGGAGTGCAACTTGCGACATCTGACCAGAGATGATCCGATCTGGTACTTCGGGGGTCAGTGGCCCGACAGCTTCGGCTGTGCTGACCATTGGTGTAGGACTCGAAGTGGCTGATGGTAATACCAAAAAATAGGCGGGAAGAATGATCATTGGTATAAGCATATCATTCATTCGCCTTGGAGTGCGCTTCAAACCGGATGCTACAACCCACATAGTAGCAGAGATTTAGATGGTTCTCAACATCTAACCAAGATGAAAGTTAATACATACATAAATTTCTTTAGTTGGTACCGGCGGTATCACCAATGCGATTCCAATGGGGCGTTGATTAACGCTTAAATTAATACGTGTGTGAAGAGCACCGTGGTTTTAAGTCTCCACGACATAGAAAGCCACGTAAAACAACAATGAACTTCCTTCTACCCCTCCTAACATTCACAGATGTTGAGAGACACTGATACAGAGTATACTTATTCATACTTAAGATAACTATGTGGATTATCTAGAAGTCATTTGTCAATAATGTCAGTCAAGAAACGCAGCTTGGAAGCAAAGCTTGAAGAAAGAAGAGTAATTGGGAATCCGAGGCTTACATTAGAAGATTGAATTTCAAAGAAAGCAAGAATAAAAAGAAAAACTATGGACGTAATTAAATAAAAGGTTTAAAACCCTCAAGAATGGAAAACTTATAACACGTTGTAAAGGTAATAAATATGTTTATAAGAAAGAACAAGAAAAGTAAATACTAGAATCCAATTCTACACATTACTATATGTAGATATGTATATGTATATGTAGATATAAATAAGTAATTTCGATGTCAAGTTAATAAAAAACCAATTAATCCAATTTTTATAATTCAGTTTCAATCTTTGATCAAATATAGCATTTCCAAAATTAATTTAAATTAGTCTATGTGTTATATAAAACTCGAGAATGGTAAAAGAAACGGATTATTATTTCCCAAGAATCCTGAAATATTGTGATCACTATATACAGAGCTTTGTATTTAATGCCGTTGATTGATGTTTTAGTATTATTCGCAGAGAGCTCTATGGTTTTTGTCAATAGTATAGAACAATTGTATATCTACACTTTTCATATATCTAATGTTTCTAATAATGGAAACTGTTAGAGTCTTGCCAATTTTCTCAATTTCGTTGAATGAAAGTTGAGTGACAATTACTGATTGCTTATATACTTAAGATCATAAACATATCACTGTTTAGAAGCAATTATGTAGGTAGACTATTTATCAACGTAAGTCTCTATTATTGAAAATGGATAATGAAACAATTGTAGCAATATTGGGCGATTAAGTGAAATTATCATGTTTTTGTATAAAAGTATAGAAGTTGTGTAAACTTCTATGTATAAATTCTTGAATTAAAAAATTACGAAATACATTTCTGAACAAAGAATGCTTATATTTTGTTAAATAATTTTATAATAATATCTTCAATATATTAATCGTTATTTGTTTAAAATATGTTTTCAAAATTTTCAGACAATAGATGAAATAGTTAAGTATAATGTTTTATGGGATTCTAAAGCCTATGGAAAAAGTAATCAGCAAAACATCGCTCTAGCAATCTTTAGTGCATAGAATAAAATAGATACCTTCAAAATGCAATCATGCAACCAAATACTTCATGAAAGCACCAAAAATTATTGCGAATTAGGTAGTTTATTAAGTGGCTCATATTGTAATATATTTTTATAAATATATTTATTATAGACGATTGTACTAAGGAGCTAATTCGTGCTGCTATTGCTGCTCGCAAACAATCCTATAGTCCTTACAGTAAATTCAAAGTAGGATCAGCATTTCGAACAAAAAGCGGTCGCATATTTTCCGGCTGTAATGTTGAAAATGTTGCCTTTTCTCCAACTTGCTGCGCAGAGAGAACCGCACTGTTGAAAGCAATCAGCGAAGGTGAACGAGAATTTGTAGCGGGAGCAGTGGTAGCATATCAAGAAAGTGGAGATCTAACCACACCTTGTGGAGTCTGCCGTCAGTTTATTGTTGAGTTTGCGAATGAAGATATTGCTTTATATATAACTAACGATAAAGATGGTGAAGAAAAACAAAATGATGATGAAGTTCTATGCACATCGATATATAATTTGCTACCATATGGCTTTAGTAAATTCTAATCACAAGAGTTGTTTTCTATAGTACAACATAACAATATTATTCACCTTGTCTCTTTCTTCCCTTCAAATTCTGTCTCAGATTTGACTGTCTTTTCCACTCCTTTCCTTATTAGCTGTTTAAAATAGATGTCAAAATAAAGGCATGGTTTAGTATGGACTCGATCGCGTACATCACACTGCGGGAGAAAGAGAAGCTGGGGTCTGGTAGGAAATAAGAGATGAAGAAAGAGATGATCAAATTCTTAGTTATACAGTTTTAATATTCATTTTTTAATTCGCCACTTTATATTAAATAACAGACAAAATAAAATAGAAATAAACATACAACATATTTGTGTTAAATTTAATTAATCCTTTAATTACATTTTGCAAAATTTGAAAAGTTCGCAATAATGATATTCGTATGTTTTCTGGATCAATTATTATTTCATTTCATTTTTGTGGAAAATGCATGTGTTTTTTAATGTAATTTCAATAAATATTAGCTTCGCTTTAATTAAAAAACATTTTTGTAAATTATCAGTGAAATACTATCTAAAGAACAGACAAAGAGAACACTAGTATTACCTAACCATATGTTAGGTATATTTTATTTATTAATTTTTAACACTACAATTTATCTACTATTATAACAAAATAAGTTTTTATATATATCTTTTCTTTGTTCCGTTCTCACATGCCTTCGTGCACACATTCGTAACCCTTTTTTCTCACTATCTTCCACGACGCCACTTTTTCTTCTTCTTTTTATATATTCGTGGCGTTGCCAGCTAGTTCGTACGTGACAATAGTAGCAGCAGATTTGAAATAATGATAAAAAAAATAATGATATTCGTAGCATTCCCATTAAACTGTAATAACTAGAGATTATCACAATCAAAATACATGCCAACAAAATAGGTTTTACAATATCCTCACTAAACAGGTCACCGTTAGTAGGTTTTAACAGACTTACAATGCAGTTAGAACAATAAACAATACAATATAACATAAAACGTCTTATAATTATATTTAGTTGGGGTCATATAAATAAAATCTTGATCTCAACATTGACACTGAAGAATTCAATCAGCTGTATTGCTATAAGACTCTAATTTTTATTACACAAAATTACTTTATTAATTTCACTTTTGTGATAAGTTTTATCACGAATTGGAAATAGAACTACTCAAAATAAATTTTGAGTACACCGATGACATTAAAAAAAAACAAAAACCATGTACTGATGACATCTAAATTATAACATAAAACTGTTATTGCTTTGTCTGATAAAGTGATAAACAATAATCCTGTCAAGTCGTAGAGAGGGGGTTATGAAGAAACCTCGCAGTTAATAGATAGTAAAAGTGCTCAAGTGCACTTACTCAACAAGTCTTAACATAATAATTAAATAAATACTTTATCCAAATCAATAGCCGAAAAAAAAGCTAATTTCCAGATATCTTTAATAAAAAAAATTATGAGTCCAGACATAGATTACGAGTCGAAATCACGGGCTTCATAAAACTTTATAGAAAGTAATCATTTAAATAACTTTATTGAAAATAAAATTTCCAAATTTAAAAATAAAAAATTAAAAAAATTTCTGAATAGCTTCGAATCTGTAAAAATATTTTTACAGTTAATAAGCGAATTAGTTTAAACTTAATAAAAGACTTTAAAACTACAATTTATTGAATAAGAATATGAACCATCGAATAGAAATATGAAATTAATGTGAGGGGTATTAATGCGAGCAGTTTTTGGAAATTATGGGATCGGCAAAGGAAACTTCTCAATTGAACTATTAACCAGGTTGACTTAACAAATTTAGCTAGCTATAAGAATACCAAAATCAATATAATATATGTTAGTATATCTAATATAGTGAAAGGCTTCTGCAAAATCTACCATCGGACCTTGCGGTTAAAATGAAATACATTAACCTGGATATTCAATTGTTCAAAATTTAGATTCCTTTAACGTAGAAAACTTACCAAAAAAAAAAATTAAATCAATATTATCCAACAGCTGCGGGCATTAATTAGTCCAATTCATATAAATAATTAAGCCAAACTTACTATGAGTAAATAGGCATGTGTGTCCCTCACTAGAGCTACTGATTTTGTTGCAACTGATCAATTTACTCAAAATTTGTCAGAACAAAAAAAGTTAAAAAAGGTTTTTTCTGTCAAGTTTTTTTTCTGATATTATTTTAATAAGTTTTTTAGATACAGTTACAAAAGTTATATTTTCTGGTGCGGTTTATATTGGAAAAAATTCGAAAATATAATTTACGTTAGTTACCATGACACAGCAAATACATGAACTAAATTGTAAAGACTTAGCTGTAATTGCCTTTGGAGGCCAAGAGTTTGATAGTTTAGCTAAGTCTGCATTATGTACACTTTTGGAAGTAATATTTAAAAAATTAAACTGTGAAAATGAAGATGTTATCATTGAAGGTACCCAGACTACATGTATCAGAGAAATGTTCTTTCTTTCTAAGCCTAATGAAATAAACTATACTGCAAGAAACGTCAAACCGATTCCTGATTTCAGTAAAGTTGACGACTTAGAACGTAAAGCAAAGAAGTTGGATAACAGATTAAAAGAGCATTTCTTTAAGATTCGACAGGCACATGACAGTGAATTTAACTTAGAAAGGTGCCATTGGACAAAATATGACCGTAATTTTGAGGATATTTGTGGAGGTGGTAAAACAGAAAACAAACCTCTTTGCGATCTAATACAAAATCGAATTTTTATGCCTAGAATAAAATTTATTTGCACTCATCCAATAATTCTTCGCATAAGAGAGTATAGAATTTATGTGGAGACACTTAAACAACATTTATGTTGGTTACGTAGTCGAGTAAGTGTGCATACTGAAATTGCTTCCTTAATTCAGCCTCTGATTTATGAAATTCAAGCTGCACGTGCGCAAGTTAAAAAAAATTCGGAAATATTCGACCTTGCCATGATAGAGCTGCAGGAAAAGTTGGTAACAAAAATGGATCAGGTACATTTTCCTGTAATTAAAAGAGCAGCTAAAAGGCGTTTAGAAGAATTCGAAACTGCAATAATGGATTGTATAAATAAACAACAAAATGCATTAAAATCGGCATACAAGATATCTGAAGACATGTGTTTCTCCTGTGGCAAAGAGCGAAGTGGCATGATTGTAGATCAAATGTTAGAAAAAGAGGAGATAGGAAAAGAATTATGTTTTTGCAGTTATAAGTTTACGCCTGTTGGTCATGATCTGTTGAAACGTATAGAATTTCATAAAAATGTTCAAAAGGAGAAAACGGATGATATCCATGTGAAAGAAAAGCAACATAACGCAGTAAGATTTTCAATTATGCGAAGACACACTGGACGTATATACAAAGAAACTCTTACGTAATTTTTAATCGAATCTGATTAATATTAAATATTTTACAAAGTATTAATTAACATAAAATAAAACAGTTTTTTCATAAAAAAATGTAATTGTGGTATTATCATTACAATTATAAATGTTTTAATAAAGTATCCTTATTTTTAATTCCAGGGCACAGTGGATTTGAGGGAAACGAAAAAGTAGGCGGCCTTATATTATATTGGGTTCACAACCATTTTTCGGTCCTTCGTGGAGGTTTTTCAAATTTAAAATTAATGAGTGGCTGGAAAAAGCAGCTAAGACTGATTGGGATGATACAATTGCCTGCAGACAATCCAAAGAATCCATGCCGTTTCGATCAAAACCCAGAACTAGGGAGCTACTAATGCTGAACAGAAGTGGTATCCGACTTGTCACAGGGTTACTCACTGGGCGCCGCGGAGTTAAAAAGCAGCTATCAAATCTAGGTATTACTAGAGACGATAGCTGCAGACTTTGTTGCGAAGAAAAGGAAACAGCAGAATACGTTTTGTGCTTATCCACTGCCGATGCACTTATAATAGAATTAGGCAACATCTCTCCAAAGCATATATTTACATTCTTAATTGCTACTCGTTTATGGAACTGAAGTGGATATGTCACAATAATCCTCTAAGGATGCAGTGATGGGTTGTGACGAGTTCACAACCCATCTTAAAAATCTAATCTAATCCTTATTTTTAAGGACCACATTGGTCTTATGTTCTTATTGAGCATTAAAAGAGGGTATCCCTCTTTTACTTCACTTTTAAATGCTTCTTATTTAGAATGCATTTTAATTAATTTCCATTATCGACCCCTAAGACAGATTATCGTTCAAGTGAAAGAGATTTAAATTTATTTCTTGAAATATACAAACCAAATTTTATTAATAGGATTTCTATTAGCTGTTGTTGATTGAATATAAAATATCTTCTTCATTATTTGAAATCTAAACAATAATAAAATGTTTTTGTTATTAATTTTTTATTCAATTGCTCTTATTAAGAGAACATTTTTCAACCAGATGTGCCAACTATAAATGTTGTTAATGAAAGTAGTTTTGATGTATCAAACTTATTCATATGTTAAGCGGTTCGATATATTTCTTATATATTCCTTAATAACCATATAATTTGTCCTGTATAAGTATTGGCACATCTTACATTGTAGATCCGTCATCACAAGTTCTTCGTACAACTTCTGTTGAGTTCTTGACTTCTGATATCTGGTCTGGTTCTGAGCATTTAGCATATAAAAATTTTGTCGTTTTTAAATCGAATGCAAACAACAATGAAAACTGAAAATTCGTTATCTAAAATTTTAGGGAACTATAAATCCCTGCTCACATAAAAGCATACTAGTAATACAATACTTCGATATTTTCTTTTACTTCTGGCGTGATACCCATATGGGCATCAAGAAGATTGTTGCTACTATAAGCTTATTTGCCATTTTTGATCTTCTGCAGTGGCCATGCTAAAGCAGTTAAGCAGTACTATACTCATACTTTCGGGTACGACTTTCATGTCAACATCTTGCGAGGATATATAGAACACGAAAGTTGGCTCGTTGCATTTGTAATAAACTTAAAACTCAAAAGTTCTCCAAATCAACGAAGGTGGATCAAGGGGCACTTGTATAAGATTTCATATTCTCAGAAATGCTAACGGTCATATAGGAAGAATGACAGCTTCGTAAAACATTTGAAATTGACAATTGATTTGAATTGTTAATGACATTGGCAATATCTCAACTAATTGGAAGGAGGGTGCGTGGGTGCCCCTTAAAATTTAATTTGATGTTATTGCTCTTCACTTTTGCCCAGCTGTCTTGATGCTGTCTGATTCAAAGCCAAATCAAGCTCAGATGAACTCTCTTTATAAGCTAACAGTGAAAAGATCGGAACTGTTTACTGCACGGTATTCGTTAAAAATCACGGTAAATATGGATCTTGCATATCTGCTAAAAATAGCACTAATGTTCTTTAACTTCATATATGCAGTCATAACAATAGCGTAGATATTGTTACCGAATATTTCTCAGTGTCTTTTTGGATTATTTCAACATATATGGTGTACGTCTCACAACTACTGTATACCTTATAGCTTCTAGCCCTTGAAATAAAAATAAAAGGATTCGAATTAACATTAGAACTGATATTAATGAACATCATGGGCAGCGCCGATACTAATGAACAAGGACAGTTTCTCTTTACTTTTATTTTTTCAGAGAATTTGATAATCGCTAATGGAAGCGATGAATTGAATTTCCTTATATCCAACAAAAAAGCGCGTTTTAGACACCTCCGTAGCAGGAACAATTCATACATATTAACTAACCGGTCTATTTTACTGGATTGTTCATTTTCAGATCACAGGTGCTAATTATTCATTACTGATCTGGCCCACAGTCGGCGACTTCTGCATTACGAGGCTACTGAGTTATAAAAGTAAATAATTTACATTTACTAATACGACGAAGCATGCATGAAAGTTTTATTACTAATCAAGTAAATCCACGTACTCCAGACTGGCAAGTCGTTCTTTTAAAAGTTCTGAAAACATTTTAAAATCGTATTACTCTTATTTATTTATTATTAAGAGGGGATGTAGTACTCCGAACATCGGGTCTATTGTGTACCCTGTATTACTCTTAATATATAAAAAAAATAATATGTTCCGGATTGCATTTTGTAGCAATGTTTACTCAGACAAAAGTAAATTCTATATTCAAAATACACAATATTTTCTCATTTTAGCGATAAATATTTTCAGTTATAATTAAATAATCCAAATGCAGGTAATATTACTTTAAATAGATGGAAAGTATGGATTAAAATTTAAAAGATAATAATTTAGGTTTCCTAGTAACATCGTATTGAATATTATAAACAATTAAGTATCTTATCTTATTATATATTCATTAGTTATATATATATAAATATATATACTTATATATACTTATATATTCACTACTTAAATTTGTTTTTTTATTGTATCGTAACGCTATATCCTTAATGTTAATAATTTCATTTCATGTAATTTTTAAAGTATACATTTAATCAAAATTTATTTAAATATATTTCTTTATTTTTTATATTTTTTTATTTACAAGTTATAAGATAAATCTCATTCTAATCACAACACTTTTAGAGATGTTTAAAAAATAAAGTTCTTTATACACATAAATTAATGTACATTAACAAAAAAATTGGTTATATATAAAAACAATTATTAAATTAATTAATAACATAACATTTAGTTTAAATTAAATTTAGTTTAATATTTAATTTAATATTTAGTTTAATAATTTAATATTTAAACTGAAGTTTCGCTGTAAAGCAAACGTGTTGCTCTTCGGTAATGAAACCCTTCAACTTCAGTTGAAGCTGCGGAAATTTTTCTCTTTTTTAAAATTTTCAAATACATGAGAATGGATTCGATGAGATACAGTACCTATAAAATGAAAAAATAAATATATATTCTGTTAAAACACAAAATAACTGTAGACTTACATTCGTCAACAGCAAAAAATATTTTATAGTTTCTAAAATGTTCACATAATCTGAGATAAACATTTGCACTTTATTTATACAGCCAATCGGCCAAACATCGAAAAAACGTCCGTTATAGTACATGCAACTCGCAGTAATTGATACATCACCGGAACTATAATCTATTGCATTATTCAATCCACAACAATGAAGTGTGTGTTGGATTTTTTGCATTTCGATCAAATCATTATTCCAAGAATCCCTTACTTTTTCTATTACTAGCTCTTGTAAAATTTGAGGTAGGGACCTATCCAACATGAACCAAATTTGTAGTCCAATAATTAAAATAGTCATTATCAAACGCTTAACAAGAGATAAATGTTATTAAAATATATTATTTATAAGTAATACATGTAATATTTTTCAAACTTACAATTAAAATCATAATTTCATTTGTAAAATTGAAACCACTTATGACAAACACTATTCCCAATAATGCAATCCATATATTTCCGAAGATTACAAACAGCGGATAATTCTTAAAGTTGAAAAAAGTGTGGGTAATTAAATTAAGGATAAGAAAAAGTACAAAGAACTGAAAAAACAAAAATTAGTTAAAAGTTTAGAAATATATATTGAGCTATAGATTAAAATTTTTGTTGTTAATTAAATGTATCGAATAAATATAAATATTGGTATGATTATAAAGTAGTTCATTTCAAAATTAATTATCCTTAAATGTATTATTATATAAATGACTTATTAAAAAATATTATTAAAAGAAACATCTAATGTATTGGATAAAAATAATTTAAAATGATTTAAATAAATTATATAAAATGATTCATCATAATTAAGGTTGAAGTTTATATTTATTAATTTTTATTTATATATTTAAGTATATTTTTATTTAAATAAATAAACTTTTCAACATAAAAGTATAACAAAATAATATTAAACAGAATAATATACATAAACATATATGTATGTATGTATATAAATATACAAAAAATATATTATATATTTTATCTATATAATATATCATATATTCTATATATCATTCTGTATATCATATATTCTATAAATACTAATGTATATATATTTATTAATTATGAAATAAATTTTTAATATACTATACAATAATATATTATATAAATATATTTTAATATATTGTTATCTTAAATATTATCTTGTAATAACTTTATTTATAAAAGAGTTAATGAAATAAGTATGTGATTGTGTTACATATTTATTATAAAATTCATTAATAAATATTTTAAGTTATATATAAAATATATTTGTAAAATATTTTTTTTTTATTTTTTAAATAAACAAATAAATTGATTATATATATATATATATGTATCTAATTAAAAAAAGGAATATTTATGGCAATTTATTACTTTTACATTTAATTTTTTTTACTGAGAAATTTATTTTAAAGTAATTTTAAATACAATTCATTATATTTTTAAAATGAACAATATTCTATAAAAATTTTACATATAAATTTGTAGAACATACCTATAAAATAAATTTGAATATAATAATGTATACAGTTATTATT